TTAATGTTGGCGACTTGATCGAGTCAAGATGACGGCACATATCAGCAAACATTCATAAATATCATAGAGAGAAATGATTGCGATGCCAGTGGCAGGAATTATGAAAGAGGAAGTAAAAGCAATTGGGTTTTTAAACCATGGTTCCAGGTGAGTTGAGATTAATTGGGTGTTTATCAAATCCTTTGGATTCACAGAAGTGATACACCTGCAAAAAAAAAAAAAAAGTGACCGAAGGTAGCTTCCAGGGGCTGATGTTGGATAAAAGCTAACTTTGATATATGGCTAGTATTTGCCAACAAAAATACCTGGAATATTTGGAGAGGCTTCCAATCATCACAAAGTGACCTACCAAAAATAAAAATAAAAAAACAGTGTGAAGCTTGTCTTGGAATGGGCACTAGGATGTGGAAAGCAAGGAGACATTGTCACCATGACCAAAATCAGATGAAAAGGAGGAATTCTGTTCAGAGCTGTTTGCTGAGTTTGCCCACTTGTCTTCTGCATATCTCAAGGGTGATCTTGAGGTCCCTCAGCCTACCCAACATCTTAAGATGTTCTCCATTTCCTTCTCAGTCTGCTCATGATTCCAGGATAGATCTCATCTTTCCCACTGCAGTTCCTCCAAGATCAGCCAAGTAGTCCAATGTAGTTGTAATTCTTCAGCTGCTCTGCTCTGAGGAACAATCTATCTACTATTTTGATATTGACCTACCTGGTCCTTGGACAGCAGAACAAGTAGAAAAGTATATGAGTGCTGGCAGATTGAGGCTGATAATACACCTAGCCCAGATTTTCTTCAACTCCAGAGAGGTGAACCTCAAAACTGTTGATAATTGGTCTACACCAAGAGCTATGGTGTAGACCAAAACTGTTGATAATTGGTCTACACCAAGAGCTCTGTTGTTGTTGTTGTTAATTGCGAAGTCGTGTCCGACCCATCGCGACCCCATGGACAACGTTCTTCCAGGTCTTCCTGTCCTCTACCATCTTTTGGAGTCCATTTAAGTTCACACCTACTGCTTCAGTGACTCCATCCAGCCATCTCATTCTCTGTCGTCCCCTTCTTCTATTGCCCTTAATCTTTCCCAGCATTAGGCCCTTCTCCAGTGAGTCCTTCCTTCTCATTAGGTGGCCAAAGTATTTGAGTTTCAACTTCAGGATCTGGCCTTCTAAAGAGTAGTCAGGGTTAGATCTCCTCTAGGACTGACTGGTTTGATAGCCTTGCAGTCCAGGGGACTTGCAGGAGTCTTCTCCAGCACCATAGTTCAAAGGCCTCCATTCTTTGGCGCTCAGCCTTTCTTATGGTCCAACTTTCACAGCCATACATTGCAGCTGGGAAAACCATGGCCTGGACTATACGCACTTTTGTTGGCAGGGTGATATCTCTGCTTTTTAGTATGCTGTCTAGATTTGCCATAGCTTTCCTCCCCAGGAGCAAGCGTCTTCTAATTTCTTGGCTGCAGTCCCCATCTGAGGTGATCTTTGGGCCCAGAAAGAATAACAGAATTGGAAGGGACCTTGGAGGTCATCTAGTCCAAACAGAAGAGCCTATGCCATTTCAGACAAATGGCTGTCTAATGTCTTCTTGAAAACCTCCAGTGATGGAGCATCCACAACTTCTGAAAGCAAGAGTCAATTGTTCTCACTGTCAGCAAATTTCTCCTCTAATGTACGTTTTCCTTCTTTTCAATAATGGATTCACTACTGCTTCTTTGACTTGAGGATCACATACTGGCGCTCCTTGAACATGTGGTCTACAAGTAGAAGATTCAGCTAAAACAGGCTTTTCCCTCTGCTATTCTCCAGGAAACTTTTCACCAGAAAGGATACCACTATTTAATCTCCAAGTATAGTTATGGGCACTTGAACCAAATTGCACCTACACCTTCTCCCTTTGAACTTCAAAGGTTAACAATTGAACATGGGATTCCGCATTCAGGGCTGAGCCAAGACATTTCCAGGAGGCCCTCAAGGTTACATAAATCTTTGTAGGTCAACAGCAATCTTGTGAATTGATGCTAACTTCAGGCCAGCAAAGACCTTATAATGACAGGGAAGATTCCAACAATGCAGAGAACTCCAGATAGGAAGATTGCCAGCTTTATTTCCAAAGGCTGCCCACATTTGATCTGACCTGCCAGGAAAAAAACCACCTTTTCAAAGCAAGAAAGAAGATTTATGCAAGGAAAGCCAGTTGCTGGAAGCTATTCATTTACCTGCTGAGCTTCAAGGAAGTCTGAAGTTGCTATTGAATGAGAAAAATGAAAGAAAAATCTTTCCATCAGTCCTGATTAAATTTTCCCTGCCCTGAAACTGTGTCTAGGTTTAGACACAGAAGGACCTCAGGTCCTTCTCAAAGGGGTGGATGAAGTATCGCAGATTAACCTTAGAGACGTTATATTCCTGAGGTTTAATTCTGGCAACTCCGAAATGTTGATGTTGAAGGCTGAGCGGGATTAATGAGAGCTAAATCCACTCTCGCCTTTGGAGAAAAAAATTGATCTCACTGGTTTAATGGCGTGGTGCTATCTCAGCTTCAAATCTCGAAAGGAGAAAAAAAATGCAGAGAAAGATTGAGAAGACTCGTAGAACTTTCCCTTTTCCAGAATGCTCTAGAATTGGGAGAATCCTAAATTTTGGTTGCCAGATTATAAAGAAGATGCTGAGACTCTAGAAAGAGTGCAGAGAAGAGCAACAAAGATGATTAGGGGAAATGGAGGCTAAAACCATACGAGGAACGGCAGGAATCAGATATGTCTAGTTTAAGAAAAAGGAGGACTAGGGATGACATGATAGCTCTCTTCCAATATTTGAAGGGCTGCCCCAAAGAAGAGGGGGTCACCTTATTCTCCAAAGCATCTGAAGGCAAAACAAGAAACAATGGCTGGAAACTAATCAGGGAGAGAATCTACCTAGAACTAAGGAGAAATTTCCTGACAGTGAGAACAAATAATCAGTGGAACAGCTTGCCACCAGAAGTTGTGGCTGCTCCATCACTGGACGTTTTTAAGAAGAGATTTGTCTGAAATGGTATAGGGTTTCCTGCCTGAGCAGGGGGGGTGGACTAGAAGACCTCCAAAGTCCCTTTCAACTCTGTTATTCTGACAAAGCCCAATGAGGCAACCTACAATGCAAATGTTGTCACCCTTTGGTAAGCGTGCACTACAACTCCCAGCATTCCTCAACCTTGGTGAGGTGGTCAGGAGGTGAAGTTCAACAGGATCTCAGGTTGAAGCCTCAGGGTGTCCATTCAGGTTGATGTTAAGTAGTCCACATGTTATTTCTCCAGCCAACTTACATTTAGCCTACATTTGGCTCGGAAGGACACTAAGATCAGTTATTCCACCTCTACATCCGTTCGGAGCTAAGCTCTCCACCAGATGGGAATCCATTCACCCAGTATGCCCATTCACGGAGTATCCTAGATGTGAAAACGAAGATAACTTGAGAAAGTCTGCTTGGATATTTTGTGCGTAAGCAGGAAGTGTGTTAATGCAACAACAAGCTTGTTTTGTAACGCTCCTTCTTGGGTGTTGCATTCAGAAGATGTTAAACACCTATTTTTATACCCAAGCTCTCCCCCCTCTTATTAGACTCTGTATTTTTTAAAAAATTGTTGCCTGGTGATTTTATAATCACATATACAATTCCGGCGGTCAGCTTACTGCGGTTATCTGTCATTTGTTGCCGTTTAGGGCTGGGTAGAAATTGTTATGATTTTAAATGGGATGTGATTTTCATATTGATTTATAATGTTAGCCAACATGAGCTACTTTGACCGGAATTGAGGCAAATAAAAACACAATCAAGAAAGAACACAGTCGCTTGGTGGTTTAATGTTGCAGATCCCGTAGGTAGCAACGCAGCCCCTAAAACGCTTTTTAGAAGGCAGAGCAGCAAGGGGAAACTCACCAATTGACCCCAAAATGTGCTTTTTGAGTGGGCTCATCTATCACCACCACCATCGGATAGGAGGGCTTCCAAGACACTTGCAAAGTTCACGCATGTCCAAAAACTCAGGTGCTTTTTGAGTTTGTGTTGATAATATTTTCTCAGAATAATTTCTCATTTATGTGTCGGACTTCCTACTGCAGTTGGCAGAAAGGTTGATCAGAAACCCTTTTCCAGGTTGATTTTTCAACTGCCTTCCTATCCCACCTTGACTTCCTCTCTCTCCTGCCCCCCCCCCAACTCAAGAAATAGCCCAGGCAAGCTGACCGACTTTTAAGACCATCTTGTAGTTATCCTTCTAAGTCTGGCTTCTCCCCGGCATTTCTACAATCTCATTATCTCTAGCCATAAAACGAGAATGTATGGAGAGCTGTTTGAGGCCAGCAAGAAGCAGCCTCTCCTCTCTTCTTTCCGCAAAGTAATAAGCCCATCTATTTAAATTTATGTCCCCGGAAATGGAAATCATCAAAAGCCGCCCCTGGGATTTTCCAGGGACAAAACAAGGTGTTCCAATTTCTGCAAGAACAAAGGTTGCGCAAGCAGGAGAGAGAAGGTAGCCAGCTTTGCCGACGAGGCATGGCTTTTGGAGATGGGGATAATCTGGAAGCAGAATGGGTGGGCTTTTTTGGCGACTCGTTCTTCTGTCTTTCACAAGTTTGCAAATTCAGGTCATGCAACTTCAGCCGCCTTCCCACCAGTAAATGCTTAAGTGTGAGAACAGCTGGAAAGCTAGAAGCTCATCAAATAACAGGCACAATTTCGGAGAGAATTGAGGAAGATAGAAAGTCGTTGCTGCCTTGGGAATCCTGAATGTCTTAGACCAGTGTTTCTCAACCTTAGCAACTTTAAGATAGGTGGACTTCAATTCCCAGAATTCCCCAGCCATCACGCTTTAAGAGGGGTGGACCTCAACTCCCAGAATTCCCCAACCAGCATCCTTTAAGAGGGGTGGACTTCAACTCCCAGAATACCCCAGCCTGCATGCTTTAAGAGGGTGGACTTCAACTCCCAGAATTCCCCAGCCAGCATGCTTTAAAAGGGATGCCAAGGTTGAGAAACATTGTCTTCGACTAAAAAAAAACAACTAAGAAAAGGTGGGTTCAGACATTTTGAGAAGCCACCACTGAAAATGAAGGTAGCCATGACTCAGATTCAACTGGAAAGTTAGCTTTTGAGCCTCCAACTCTTAGCCCAAGCTACCTTGCTTTGAGATTTTAGAAGAAAAGCAGTATTTAAATCTGGAAAATAAGTGTTCCACAGGACAGAACCAAGCCATCTTATCAGCACATGTCATAAATTCTATGACAGCTGTCAGTATTTCTCTCCTGGCACGGTCTGTGCCCACACGCACACCCCTTTGAATAAAAAATGGCTACCAACCACTATTAAATTTCTGGTGTAGAATTACTCTTATAAAGAGTTAATACATTACCCACAATGCCTTTGAGTTCAGTCTCTTCCAACAGTCGGGGCTGAATGCACCCAAAAAAGCAATAGAATTTAAAAATACTGTTCTTCCTCACCAAAGCAGGGCTTTGCCAAACATTAAGTCCTCAAGAGAGTTTTATTGGCTCCAAGCACGATGCGGGTGGTGGCTTTCTGCCACAAAATCTGATTAATTTTTGGTCTGGTGGTCTGAAAACAATATGGCAAATAAAAGACACTAGGCAGTCCAAACACCCCCAGAGCTGGTAAAGATCTTGCCGTGGAGGCCTCGGCCCCCTCCCCACCAGCTATTCGTTGTAGTGCTTGCGCCATTTGGCCGCGGATCGGATCATGGCGGCTGCCACACCCATCATGCCAATTGTTCCCACAGCTATGGCTTCCGTGACCTGCAAGAAAGGACAGAGAAGGTGATGAAAAGCGCATCCTACGGTTGAGCCCATTTTACAGACGGTGGCTGGGAAGACTGAGGTGTATCTAAGAGCTACAGGCTGAAAAAAACAAACCAATCAAGAATTCTCCACATTCTTTCACAGCCCAACCGCCAAAAAGAATAATGTGGCGTCAAAATGGGCCACGTGGTCCCTCAGAAGCTTCCCCTTCTTGGGAAAGGAGGCTTCTGTTTTTCTGCCTTATTCACAGATTTCACGGATTTCTCTAAGGGATGTTATGGACCTGATGTGATTGACTTCCACAAAAATATCTTAGGATTGTTATGACTTAATGGGCGGGCTCCATTATGGTCGTAACTCAAGGACTGTCTCTCCTCAAGAACCCATCTATAGGGGCTGTTTCCATTCCTCAGAGACGCAAAAAATGCAATCCGTACAAAAGAAATAACCAAGAGTTTAGCTGCGTTTTGAATTCACTTCGCCAGGTGATAGGATCAGCTCTGGATTTAACACTACTACAGATGGTCCTCTACTTACGACAATGCATTTGGTGGCCATTTGGAGTTACAACTGCACTGAAAGAAGGGACTTGGGAGTGATTTTCACACTGACAGCCATCTCAGCATCCCCAGAGCCATGCAATAAAAGGGCTTGCAACCAGTCCTCACACTTATGACTGTTGCAACATCCCCCAGGTCACATGATTAACCTCCTGGGATCACGTGATCACCGTTGGTGACTTCCCCAGCCAGTTTGCGACAAGCAGAGTCAATGGAGGAAAGCTGGATTCATCTAACAACTGCGTGATTTGTGTAAACATGCAAGGATTTGCTTAACAACTGTGGCAAAAGTATACATCATGAAATCATGCACTACTCATTTAACGACTGCCTTGCTTAGCAATGGAAATTCTGATCCCCATTATGGCTGTAAATCGGGAACGACCTGTTTGTGAGTTGCAGCTTCCCAAATATATCTCATCGTACCTGATCACTCATCGCAATGCCGTACCGCAACTCCATGACAAAATGTTCACAGTTGTGGCTGGTCAGGTTGTAGGGCATCTCTCTGCCCACCAGCTCTTCCGCCCGCTCGAGGGTCTTGGTTAGGGGCAGGGGGGGATGTGTATGATCGTGTTTGTTGTTCACTCGGTATTGGTCATTCCGCACCACCACTTCCAGCCAGTCTTTCTTGACGTACGCTCGGTCAGACAAGACCGCCAGTACACTGGCAGCCCCGTTCGCTAGACGGTCACCTGCAGGGAGGGAGGAAGGAAGGGAGCGAGGAAGGAAGGAGGGAGGGATAGAGGAGAGGAGAGGAGGAAGGAAGGAAGAGAGAGAGGGAGGGAGGAAAAAGGAAAGGAGGGAGGGAGAAAGGAAAGGAGAGGAGAGGAGGAGAGGAAGGAAGGGAGGGAGGGAGGGAGGAAAAAGGGAAGGAGGGAGAAAGGAAAAGAAAGGAAGGAAGGAAGGAAGGAAGGAAGGAAGGAAGGAAGGAAGGAAGGAAGGAAGGAAGGAAGGAAGGAGGTTGAATTCACACAGTGTGCTGAACTCCTGATTCACAATACACAGTTGCTGCATTCACATAGACTTGCAATGCCCCACCAGACAGACCAGTTCTGCTCAACATTGGCTGTTTGAGAATGCGGGGAGTCCACACATCTTAAGAGAGAATATTTTTAGCTCAGGTTTGAAATTTGGGCTTAAAGGAGGTGATTTCACATTCACTGCATCATTACCCACAGAATATTCCTTTTATTTATTCATTCGTTCATTTATTCAATGTACATGCTGCCCATCTCCACTGCCACTCCTCTGGGCGGCTTACAATCTGATAAAACATTGTTATAAAAGGTTAAAGCAGTAAGGCAACGAACAGGACAATTTAAAAATACAACAAGATACAGAGACGTCTTGGACTGCAAGCTATCCAAACCCCGTTTCATCTAGGCTAATACAGTGCGAAGTAACCAGGCTGAGTTGCAAACAAGGCCAGGCAAAATTATACGGGGAAGTGAATTAAACGTGAAGGAGAAACAGTCCTTTGGCTGTGAGCAGCACATTTTAATTTGGTTAGTAGATTAACCCATTTTCCGTGCTTTCACAGTACATTGAAATGGAAACGAAGCAGCACTGGCACCGAACAATCTCCCTTGGTGAAAAGGCAGTCACTAGGTCGCTAACTAACCTAGTTAAAGCCTGTTGGGCAAACTCCACCCCTGAGCGCTGCGCCTCAGTGAGTGTCCCACTGAGATAATCATGGTTATTTATTATTTGATCTGTGGTGGAGTCCCAAACACCCTCATGCTGGGCCTGTTGGTTTCCATGGAAACTCACATTCAGGGGCTAAGTGGACAACCTTGCCCTCTCCAACGTAGATACCCCAGTGTTGATAGCAAGAACGGAATATCTCTATCAGGTCTCCCGGTTTGATTTCTTCCTGTAAGGGGGAAAAGAAACAGAGGACTAGAACATAGAACACAGAGCCAAAGGGCTGGATGGGATCTTGGAGGTCTTCTAAACCAACCCGCTGCTCAAGGCAGGAGATCTTATACCATCCCAGTCAAATGGTCGTCTATTTTTTGAAAGCCTCCAGTTGTGGAGCACCCACAATTTCCAGAGGCACTGGTTAATTGTTCTCCCTGTCAGGAAATCTTACTTCTTGGTTGGGTCTCTCTTTGATAACCTTCAATCCGTTACTTCTTCTCCTGCCCTCTGGTGCTTTGGAGAATAGGTAGACCCCTTCTTCTCTGTGACAACCCTTCAAAGTACTAGAAGACAGCTAACATGTCCTCCCTTATCCTTCTCTTCCATAATCTAGACTTACTTTGCTCCCTCAACCATAATGCACCAGATACATCAAAAACGATGACCTTTGGACCATCTTCTAACCTTGAGGGTCAAAAACTAAGTTGAAGGTCAACCTTGAAAGGGTGATGTGTGTTTGCAACATCCTGGTCCATCTCTGGTCCATCTCTTTGTTTCATCCTTAGCTTAGGGGGGGGGGTTCTATTTTTTTTTTGCAACTATTGTCAGCAGTATCTTCCCCCCAAAGTATCCCCTTATTCATTATCCATGTGCATTCCCATTCTGATGGGATTTACTCAGCAGTATGTGCAAAACCACACAATATACTTGTGAACAGAGCTCTTCAACGTCCTGCTGAAAATCCTTAGCTTGCATTCAACCCTTAACTCCCTTGGGTGTGGCGCAGAGAGAATTCCATGATTTAATTTTTATTTTATTTATTCCATTTCTATAGCTGCCCCAACTCAATTAAGTGACTCTGGGCAACTCCCGATTCCAAAACTATTAAACCGTAAAAAGATCCAGAGAATAAATACATACAGCAGCCGAGATTGGTTACTGTATTGAAATGTTGATGGGGAAAAATATTAAATGCGTCTCCTGATGCTCTGTCAGGGGAAATGACAGAGAGGGGAGTCATGATATTGGGGTTCAGGCACTTCAAAAGAAGTCATAGGAAAGGTGGTCAGGAATCTTCTGGGGAATTTGGACTAGAAATAGTGATTAGAAATTGCAAATGCATAGGTTTTGTTTCAATGTTGATTTCCTGATGGAACACTCTGCATTTATAGAGGTAAGTGAATCCTGCAACTTTAGAATCTTCTAAGAAGAAGCTAGACAATCAACCCTCGTGGATAATTGACTTGGTTTTCCTTCCCAAAATGGAATTGGGGCTTGTGGTTGAATCCAATTCCATAATTCTTTGATTCTATGGGGTGGAGAATGATATATATTTTTGAAGCACGGACCATTGCATGACAATGCCAGGCTAACTTTGGTCTCCAATCTGGAACAGGATCTGTCTCTATCTTACGAGGTTCAACCATGGATTCTGCAGCACAAACATATCCAGAAGACCAGGTCTAATTTCTGCGAACCCCCAAGTCACCAACTCAGACGCTGATGGTTCTGAGGAGATGGATGACATCTCCAGTAAATTGAGTCTGGGCGAGATAATGAAATAGATAGTCTGAGAAAGGGCATGGCCCATTGGCTGGCGGGGATCCTGAGCACAAGCACTCCGCATTACCACATTTTGTTGCACTTCCCACTGTGTCCTATCGACTTACCCAAGTACCTCTCAACAGGAAGCAAACAGATATCACCACGGCAAATCCTGTGATCTGCCTTTAAAATCAAACCAACGGCTCTTAAAAGGAGCATTCACAAATACTTATAACCCTGGGGATGTGGGAGAGACAGGATTCCCTTCACCCATGTGAAAGGTCTCTTAAATTAGCCAAGGGAGGTGGTTTTCATTACCAGGAAATGGAAAATAAGAAATGTTTTTTTGTTTGGCCATCCAGATCTGAAAAATTCTTCCCAGCTTGGTTTAACAGAATAACAGAGCTGGAAGGGACCTTGGAGGTCTTCTAGTCCAACCTCCTGCTCAAGGCAGGAGTTGTTATACCATTTCAGACAAATGGCTGTCCAGTCTCTTCTTGAAAACCTCCAGTGTTGGAGCATTCACCACTTCTGGAGGCAGGTTGTTCCACTGGTTCATTGTTCTAACTGTCAGGAAATTCCTCCTTAGTTCCATGTTGCTTCTCTCCTTGATGAATTTCCACCCATTGCTTCTTGTCCTGCCTTCAGGTGCTTTGGAGACTAGCTTGACTCCCTCTTCTTTGGGGCAGCCCCTGAGATACTGGAAGGCTGCTATCATGTCTTCCCTGATCCTTCTTTTCATTAGACTAGACATACCCAATTTCAGCAACTGTTCTGCCCAGAGAAGTAAGCAACGGGAAGTGATTGAGAATACAGAATAATGAAGTTATAAAGGGACCTTGGAGGTCATCTAGTCCAACCCCCTACTCAGGCAGGAAACCCTATACCATTTCAGACAAATGGCTGTCCATTCTCTTCTGAAAACGTCCAGTGTTGGAGCATCCACTGCTTCTGGAGGCAGTTGTTCCATTGGTTAATTGTCTTCACTGTCAGGAAGTTTCTCCTTAATTCTAGATTGCTTCTCTCCTTGATTAGTTTCCATCCGTTGCTTCTTGTCCTGCCTTCAGGCGCTTCGGAGAACAGCTTGACTCCCTCTTCTTTGGGGCAGACCCTGAGATCCTGGAATACAGCTATCCTGTCCCCCCTCGTCCTTCTCTTCATTAAACTAGACATACCCAATTCCAGCAACCGTTCCTTGTATGTTTTAGCCTCCAGTCCCCCGATCATCTTTGTCGCTCTTTACTTTGTTTCTACTGAAAGATCTTGAAGTTTAAAAAGAAATCTTACAGATATTCACCACCATTGCAAAAATCCTTCTGTTGCTGTTATTATTATTATTGTTTTCCTTTTCATCCGATTTTGCATTTTTGGATTTTTAATAGACACTTTCTTTCTGGCCATTAATGTTTGTCTTGCTCCATAGATGTATTTCTAATGACGTTCTCTATTGATTATAGGTAATCCTCAGTTTACAACCATTTGTTTTAACGAGCCTTTAAAATTAGAACGGCACTGAAAAAAAAGTGACTTGTAACCATGTTTCACACATACAACCATTGTAGTACCCATTGGTCGCGTGATCAAAATTTAGATGCTTGGCAACTGATTCATATTTATGACAGTCACGTTGGCGACCTTCTGGCAAGCAAAATCAGTGGAAAAGCTGGATTCACTTAACAACGGTGTTGCTCGCTTAACAACTGCAGTGATTTGTTTAACAACTGTGGCCAGAAAGATGGTAAAATGGGGCAAAACTGACCAGTGTCTTGATTAGCAATGGAAATTCGAGGCTAAGTGGTGGTAGTAAGTTGAGAACTACCCGTATTTTTTATTCTGGGAATTGCTAGGCTGGCCTGAAAGTTTTCCCTGAGTTATACAAGAGAATAAAACATGTTTATATATATATATTTAATGCTAAATAGCAATGTTCTGGCCCATTTGGGACATTCTCCAGCTTGACTTCAGGCTCCAAATCAAATTCTAAATTTGCTTGCCGGATTACCACCTTCTGGAACTCAAGTGGACAGCATATTTCAAGAATCGGGGTGGATGGAAAACCGTCTCAGCAATCTGGGCAATGTTTTTGGTCCTCGACTTGCAACAATTCATTTAGTGACGGATCAAAGTCAACAACAGCACTGAAAAAAGTGACTTGAGACTGTTTTTCAGAGTTACGACCTTTGAAGCATCCCCAGGGTCATGTGATCACATTTCAGACCCCTGGAGACTGAGTCATACTTACGACCGTTGCTTTTGTGATCTTTTGTGACCCTTTTGTGATCTTCTGACCAGCTAAGTCAATGGGGCGGAGCCAGATTCATTTCACAACTGGGTTACTAACTTATCAATTGTGGTGATTCGCTTAACAACGGTGGCAAGAAAAGTCGTCAAATGGGGCAAAGCTCACTTTGCAAATGCCTCGCTTAGCGAGAGACATCTTGGGCTCAATTGTGGTCGTAAGTCGAGGACTGCCTGTATGGCATTTTCTGACCACTAGGAAACAATCTGTCAAGAACAAACCATCTCACTGGCTCACAACATTTTTTGACCAGTTGTGGGTTATATTTTTCAGACATAAGCATGTCTCCCCATAGACCGGAGGCACAACGGTTAAATCTTTCCTCCCTGTTATTAAAATGCATCAGCAGATGGATAACAGGAAGCAAAAAATTCTCCCCAATGCATGCTAGGCTGACCAGCGCATTAGATTCTTTAATTGGTACATGCATCATAAAAATTGATCCATCGATTAGCTTGTGATATTTCAGCGCTCTTTGTAAATAAAAACAGCAATGTTGGTTTAATTTTAGATCTCTTTCCCAGCCTGGCATGGAAGTCTTCCTTTCTACCCAATGTGCAGCTATCGCTCGCTTAATGTCTGCTTGCTCCATTTTAGGGTGCCCTCCAAAATTTATCCAAGGAAAAAGTCCCATTAAGCTCAGAAGTAATTACTTGGGAATGAGCCTCTATGAGATTGCATAGTTTAGAGTGAAACTCATTGACTTAAATAGCAGGTCTTCATAAGTATGCAAGGGATGGCTCTGTCTTACATTTGCTTCCCTGCAGGCAGTCCACAGCTTAAAACCATTCGCTTAGTGACTGAAGCTGCAATGGCACTGGAAAATGGTCCTCACATTTACGACCCTCGCAGAATCCCTGTGGTCACGTGATTAAAATTTGAGCGCTTAGCAACCGGCATGTTTTTATGATGGTTTGCAGTTTCTGAGGGTTATGTGATCATCATTTGTGACTCAACCAGCTAGCTTTCAACAAAGGGAAGGAAGGAAGGAAGGAAGGAAGGAAGGAAGGAAGGAAGGAAGGAAGGAAGGAAGGAAGGACTTAAATACATAGATATAAAAAGAGAGAAATTAAAAGGAAGGAAGGAAGGAAGGAAGGAAGGAAGGAAGGAAGGAAGGAAGGAAGGGGAGGAGGAAAGGAAAGAAAAGGGGGAGGAAGAGAAGGAGGGAGAGAGGAAAGGGAAGGGAAGGGAAGGGAAGGAAAGGAAAGGAAAGGAAAGGAAAGGGAGAGAAAGAGACAAGAGTGTATTCTACCAAACCTGGAGGGCACTGAATGGGGAAAGACTCCTCTAACCAATACACTCCACTGCCACTCAAGCCCCAAACTTACAAACCAGCATAGCCCTTCCTGGCAGAGCCTGACTCCCACCCTCCCAGGGGCTGGCTGGCTGGTCCAGAACCCCCCTCTCTGATTTCCTTCACTTCTGTACACGCAACCTGCCTTTCCCCCCCTCATCTTTCACGGGCCAGGCTACACACCTGTTCACTCATTTCCGGTCCATAACGTAGCTCCATAACAAAATTTTCACAGTTTTGGCTGCTCCGGCTGTACGGCATCTCCTTTCCGACCAATTCCTCCGTCTGCCACAGGATCTTGGAGAGGGGTAGCGGTGGGTGTGTCTCGTCATGTTTATTGTTCACTCGGTACCTGTCCTTCCGGACCACGTCTTCCAGCCAATCCTTCTTGACGCATACTCTCTCGGATAAGATCACCAAGGGGTTGGGAGACCCATCAGCAAAATGTTCACCTGGAGAGCAAGAAGAAAAGCTGCCCAAATCAGCAGGCACACACACACACACACACACACACACCCGGGAACGAGGAAAGGACGTTTGGCTCATGTCCACGCCAAGGCCACCCCAAATTTGCACTGGCCATGCTCCAAAGCATAACATTCTCCCTCTGTTATATTCCAGTGTGTTCTTTGTTAACCAAAAACGATGGTGCCATGCAGTGGCTTTGGCACAGATTTCATGACATTTGACAATAGAGTATTATTGCTTAACAGAATTACAGAGTTGGGAGGGACCTTGGAGGTCATCTAGTCCAACCCCCTGCTCAGGCAGGAAACCCTATACCATTTCAGACAAATGGCTGTCCAGTCACTTCTTAAAAACTCCCAGTGCTGGAGCATTCACCGCTTCTGCAGGCAGGCTGTTCCACTGGTTAATTGTTCTAACTGTTCTCCTTAGTTCCAGATTGCTTCTCTCCTTGATTAGTTTCCATCCATTGCTTCTTGTCCTGCCTTCAGGTGCTTTGGAGAATAGGTTGAGCCCCCTCTTCTTTGGGGCAGCCCCTCAACTGTTAGAACTGTGTCACCACTAATCCATCTTTTCACTAGATTCGACATACCCAATTCCTGCCACCGTTTTGTCCAGAGAAATAAGGAGAAGGGCAAGCCATACAGAACACAAAATAACAGAAGGGAACTTGGGGTTTTCTAGTCCAAGCTGGAGACCCTTACAGAATAACAAGAGGTGGAAGGGGCCTTGGAGGTCTTCTAGTCCAGCCCCCTGCTCAAGCAGGAGACCCTATGTCATTCCAGACAGGTGGCTGTCCAGTCTCTTCTTAAAAGCCTCCAGTGATGGAGCACCCACAATTCTGGAGGCAAGCCCTTCCACTGGCTAATTGTTCTCACTAATGGGAGAGCAAAAAGCCATCAATACATCCTCTTCCCCCCCCCCCTCCCAGGGCTTAGAATACTTACATTCAGTTACCAGATGGACTACTTGCTGTTCCCCTACATACAGGGCCCAATGTTGGCAAGAAGAACGGAATATCTCAATAATGTCCCCTGGTTTTAATTCCTCCTGGAAGACACAAAGAGTCCCAACTCAGTGGCCATTGCTACCCAATCTGTCCTCTTCCTACAGGTAGACCAAACCCGGCCTTAGCGAGATCAATCCAATGGTAATCCTTGACTTACTACCCTAACTGGGACCAGGCCCAAAGGTGCTTTTTCAAATGGCGACTCGAATTTGTTTTTCCTTAAGGAAAAACAAAATTCAGGCTTTAATGGACAACTGACATCATACACATGCTCAGGGGAGTGAAATTGCGGTGTACTCTGTTCTCATCTGGCCAAATTCATCTTCAGCATCCGCCTTCTAGCGCGGTGTCTCTTCTTCCAGCTGTTTGATGCCTACCTTCTCTGCATGCCAAACATTACTGCACATATGGGGTGCACCTATCCCAATAAAGCTCTTTTCTTTGCAAAGACCGTTTTTAAAGAGACAGGCGCCTTCCCAAAAAAATATATAGGCCAAATTCACACCTTTGAATCTTTTCTATGGTGCTGTAGTACCACCTGCTGGTTGTTGGATTTACTGCAGGAGAAGGGGGGGGAAATCCCAAAGAGGGGAGGGAAAGAAAAAAAAAGCTGTGGCTGAAATTTTTCTAGACAAAAAAATTCCTCTCAATAACCCTGACAGGTAGACTATGCTGGGAGAGAGGGTTTGATTCCATGCCATCCCGATCTCTCAGTGACCAACTGGAAAGACACATATAAGCGTCTCTTAAATCCAAGAGGTTTTGAGGTCTACAGACACAGAATAGAATAGGAGCTGGAAGGGACCTTGGAGGTCATCTAGTCCAGCCCCCCCCCCCCGGTCAAGCAGGAGAACCTGAGACAAGTGACTGTCCAGTCTCTTCCCAAACCGTTCACTGCAACAGTAAATAAATTTTTAAAAAGCACAAAAGTTAATAGGTCACTAACTAAATCTAGCATTCTATGGAGCACTCTTGGCTAACTGGTTAAATACACATTGACGTGGACTTGAGGCAGAGGTCACCCTGACACTAGCTCAGCTTCCAGAGAGGATTGTCCTTGCGTACAGAAACCACACCGCTAACCGCTCAGTAGTAAATTGAGGACTGCCTGTACTTCAACCAGTGTTTCTGTTCAAATGCCAGCCACTAGCAATGCAGTAACATCTGCTCAGCAGCCGGAAGGAAAGGGGGGGAATCGATCTGGCCCTTTTATAAAAGTTTTTGTCTGCTCCCCCCCCCCCTTCTCCCTGCCTTGTTCCCAGCCCCCGTTTACCGGTTCGGCTGGATTTTTAACCCTGGTTAAAAGGGCTGAGTGATTTTGCTCCTCCTCATTCATCTTGGCTAGGATGTCCTCGTGTCTTCTCAGTGCCGACTTCCTATGGGCATATCTAGAGGAGAAAAAATATATATAGAGAGAGGATCATTCCTGTTTCTTTGATGAACTGAAGCCCTTTAGTGGGATGGATCTGTGTTAGCCGAGGTCCCCTTCTTGCTTAATTCCAGTTGCTTTCCTGCAAATTTTGCCCTGCCATCTTGAGTTTTTCTTAGCGTTTTTGGACAAAACTCTTGGAGGAGGAGGAGGAGGAGGAGGAGGAGGAGGAGGAGGAGGAGGAGGAGGAGGAGGAGGAGGAGGAGGAGGAGGAGGAGGAGGATTGTGGGATCCTTGGTGCTCTCTGAGCTGGGTGGTTTTCTGGCAGACATTTCATGACCCAACTAGAGAATGTCATCAGTGCTAGAAGGGAAGGAGGTTTGCAGAGAGGAGGAGGAGGAGGAGGAGGAGGAGGAGGAGGAGGAGGAAGAAGAAGAAGAAGAAGAAGAAGAAGAAGAAGAAGAAGAAGAAGAAGAAGAAGAAGAAGAAGAAGAAGAAGAAGAAGAAGAAAGAGAGGAAAGAAGGAGGAGGAAGGAGAAAAGGAAGGAGGAGGAGAAGGAGAGGAGGAGGAGAAGGAGAGGAGGAGGAGGAAGAAGGAGAAAAGGAAGAAGAAGAGAGGAAGGAGAAGGAGGAAGGAGAAAAGGAAAGAGGAGAAGGAGAAAAGGAGGAGGAGGAGGAGGAGGAGGAGGAGGAGGGAGAAAAGGAAGGAGAAGGAGAAGGAGAGGAGGAGGAGGAAGAAAAGGAAGGAGGAGGAGGAGGAGAAGGAAAACAAGACATAAGGAGTTCTAGTCCCGCCTTAGGCACAACAGCCAACTGTTCCCTACCTTGAGCTATTTAGATATTTATACAAATAATAAAAGCAGGATAAAACAAAATAAGATGATGATGATTGGGGTGGGAATGCCCATGGAAACAGCGGAGCATCATGCTGGGGTGTCAGGTAAAGAAATCTTCACTCTCCTTTGGCACAATCCTCTCTCCACTCACCTGCAGCACCCCTGGCCTTCCCCCCCCCCCCCCACATTCAACCCCAAAGGGAGTCATTACAAAGAAAGACCTTCCAGCTCTTTCACAGCCACAATTCCCCCCTCCACAGCTAAACCCCTCTTTCCCCCCCCCCCACGCCTTGCTCTCCCCAAAGAGAAATCCAAAAGGAATTCTCCATCAGCTTGTGCCTCTAAAGCAGAAAACCAGAAGCCTCATTCTCAGGGGAAGAAACCACCTGAGAAATGAGGGAGAGACCATGAAAATCTGCTTCTCCCTCCACGCTGGAGGACTCACAATTCAATCAGGCAACCCAACGAAACATCCAAAGACTGGAAACTCTCAATGTGGACCCAAAAAGCAAAGTTTGTAGTTTATCTCCACCGCAATGTTACCTCAGCCATGAAATCACTAAAAGGCTGTGGTTAAACCATTGTTTGCTCAGTCCCAGGGGCAGGGGACTAGCACTGGCCTACCCTATAGATGTGTTGTTTTTTTAGCAGACCTGGACAAAGCTGTTCACAGCAGCAGGCTCTTTCTCTGAGTCAGCCATACTATCCCCCTAGAATTTCAAGCAGCGTTGCCCAAAATTAGGGCAAATTAAATCCATTTATAGGATGCCTTATCACTTTTAACACAAAGCTTTTAAAGGTTTTGTTTGTTCCTTTTTAAAAAAAAAAAAAAAAAAGAGGAAATAGCAAATGAAGGGAACTGTGAATTATGGCATTTGTTTGTGAAAGCAATTTTTGCCAGCAAATTAAAAAGGCTCCCGTCAAGATCCCCTGATTTGCAAAAGCATTTAAATTTAATCAGTTGGCACAAAATGATTAATCACCCCAATTAATATGCATTTTCCTCTCCAGATTAGTTTTCTCTCTCTTGGCTTCCCACCGCCTCTTTCTCTTTTTGTCTGGGCAAAGCTACAAAAGTTGGTGAATATAGATAGCAAGGGATCCCTTTCCTTCTCCCCCTGGCCTTATGTTTCCAGGAAAAAGAATTCCTGCGTGGGTGGAAGAATTAGGAATTTGGAATCTCCCGGCCCATCCTCCCGGCCCATCATTCTGTGCCATAGAGAGCTTTGGACTGTTTCTTGGTAACTTTCCAATGGGTGGACTGCAATTCCCAGAATCCCCCCAGCCAACATCCTTTAAGATGGGTGAACTTCAACCCTCAGAACTGGAGAGGAAGGAAGGAAGGAAGGAAGGAAGGAAGGAAGGAAGGAAGGAAGGAAGGAGGGAGGGAGGGAGGGAGAGGTAGAAGGAAGGAAGGAAGGTAGGTAGGAAGGACAGGGAGGGAAGAAAGGAAGGACAGCAAAGAAAGGAAGGTAGGAGAGAAGGAAGGAAAGGAAGGAAGGAAGGAAGGAAGGAAGGAAGGAAGGAAGGAAGGAAGGAAAAGGACAGAGAGGAAAGGAAAGAAGGAAGGAGAGAAGAAAGGAAGGAAGGAAGGAGAAATGGGAGGGAGGGAGGGAGGGAGGGAGGGAGGGAGGAAGGAAGGAAGGAAGGAAGGAAGGAAGGAAGGAAGGAAGGAAGGAAGGAAGGAAGGAAGGAAGGAAGGAAGCCACTGAAATTTGGCCATGTTGTCACTGAATCTCCAAAGTGGCCAATTGGGGCTGGGGGTTTTTGACTTTTTTTTCTCACCTGAACCCCAAATGAAGAAAGAGGAACTGGCCAAGAAGACCCCCAAATGCACCCCACCTTGCTCTCCTGGCTGGCCCAGGTCTGGTTCACCCCAGCCCCCAGCCTGGCTCTAGCAGAGCAGAAGGGAAAACGGAGGCACCCATCCAGCCAGCTTCCCTCCCACCCAGCGCTGGTACCTGCAATGGGCGCTCACTTTTTTTCCTGTGGCAAATGAACTCACCTCCCATTTCCTGGCTGGTGCTTAGAGTGACATAATAGGACAGGTGCCACCTCACCTGTTACCGAGTAACCAGGGAAGACTCTGATGTCTGAACAAGTGAATGGGTTGGGTAAGACAGGGTTTCTCAAGCTGCTCTCCCTACTCCAAAGTGTCTCAAACTTTACATCCCTTGGAGACTTTTTTTTAAAAAATCAGGTGGTTAATTTTATCATATTATTATTATTTTGCAGATTATTCGGAGGTCCCTCGACACAGCTCCCAAATACCAGGGACAGTTGCAAAATATAATTTCATCCTTCCTGTTTTCCTTGCCACCCAACCTCCCCAACTAGAGCTGGTCCTCTACTTACGACCACAGGCTTTAAGGTGGGTGGACTGCAATTGCCAGATTCCAACCCCCCCCCAAGCCAGCATGCTTTAAGATGGACCAGAATTTCCATTGCTGAGCAAGACGGTCGTTAAATGAGTCACATTTGATGGCCTTTTTGCCAGAGTTAAGCAAATCACTGCGGTTGCTAAATGAATCACACAGTCATTAAGCAGACTTGGCTTCGTCTACTGACTGCTTGTCAGAAGCCAGCTGGGAGGGTCACAAATGATGATCACATAAGCTCAGGATGTTTTATTTTGTTTATTTATTATGGAATTTATTTGCCCTCCCATCTCGTGTCTAAAAACTCTGGACAGCTTACAACATGGTGCAACCGTTATAAATATACAGTAAGTCATGGTTCCAACAAATGAAACTCTTCAAAGAACTTCGAGGCATTGTTTACCTTAAAGAATCTTTATTAGAGAAGCATAGCTTCGGCACTAACACAATGGAAGCCAAAAAGTGAATTCCCCTCCCCTGAGCCCATAGTATCAAAGCACAATTCCCTCCTCCAATTAACAGTCATAAATCACATTCTCCAATTAGTTTGAAATGCAGGCTCCCCCTCCAGTTCTCCAGCCACCAATTCTTATCATTTCTTATTTCAATAACCTTGGTTCTCACACTAGGTTCAGTATTGTTATGTCTAGCTAAATTCTCATGCACATTCCTCCTCCCCCCAGCATCATCTAACTCTAACTCTAAGAGTAAAACATAAGAAGAAAGTGGTTGTATCTCCATCTGTTGTCAAAGCAAAAACATCCGATGTTAGCACATTAACATAGTAATTTCCAGATGCCCAAATTTTAATTGCTTGACCGTGGGGATGCTGCAGTGGTTAGAATCACCTGGATGTGTCATAGGTTACTTTTTTCAGTGCCGCTGTAACTACAAACCGTCGCTAAATGAATGATTGTAAGTTAAATTGTGTGATTGTGACAAACCTCCAGTTTGGAGCATCCACAACTTCTGTTCTCACTGCCAGGAAATATCTCCTTAATTCCAGGCTAGTTCTTTCCTTGATCAGTTTCCATCCGTTGCTTCTTATCCTGCCTTCTGGTGCTTTGGAGAATAAGTTGACCCCCTCTTCTGTGTCGGAAGCCTCTTAGATATTGGAAGACTGCTATTATGTCACCCCTAGTCCTTCTCTTCGTTAGATTAGAAGTATCCAATTCCTGCAACCGTTCTTCATATGTTTTAGTCTCCAGGCCTCTAAACATCTTAGTTGCTCTTCTCCACATTTTTTTCCAAAGTACAGTATTGTTTTTCTGCTGGCATGGATTTGTGCCACACTTTTTCTCTGGATGTCTGTGCCCTTTATAACAGACTTGCGCCCTAGATGGTGATTTGTTCCCAAAACAGGAAAATGGGATGAGCGTTAATCTCTTGCTAGCAATAAAGCCCAGTAAATAATGTCTTATTTATGAATTCATCTTTGCAGTCTTGTCCTTTCTGTTCCCAAACAAAGCCTTCCAGGCATCTCACAAAGTTAATTTTTAAAAATGAAAGGGAGCTACAAAGAGTGATAACACACAAGCCGTATAATAACTTGGAGCGCACTGTATTAATCATATATCTAAACAAGATAATGTTTTATTTAAAAATATAGTGACAAGCTATAAGAGAGTGGAGGGGAAGCAACTTATTCCATCAGGGAATTAGAATTTGGGGGCCACAACTGGGAAGATTGGCCCGCCCTCAAACCACCATCTGCAATTCTCTTTTTGAGGACTGTTTTGAAAACAGGTTCAAATAAAACCAAATCTTTTTTCTTTCTTACCTACCTCTACGCCAGCTGTTGGCATATTAAAAGTTCCTATGGTTACATGGGCAAATAAAACTAAAATCATGTTTTAGTGACCTCATCTGCCATTGGTCTTCTTTTAATTCAGAAATCCAGTTTCTCTGAGGTTTCAACTTTACAATAGCCAACTTTTAAAATGTCATTCTACAGAGCAGTGTTTTTCAACCTGAGCAACTTTAAAATGTGTAGATTTTAACTCCCAGAATTCTCCTGCTAGCTTGATTTAAGATGGGTGGACTTCAGCTCCCAGAATTCCCTGGCCAATATGCTTGAAGATGGGTGAATTTTAACTCCCAGAATACCCCAGCTAGCTAGCCTGCAGGATTCTGGGAGTTGAAGTCCACATACTTTAAAATGATCAAGGTTGAGAAACATTGATACAGAGGGGAAACGATGGAAAAAGCACCAGAAATAAATTATCACTGAAAATTATCCATTTAAGTCAGAGAATAACAGAGACACTTACTAAAGTTTCCTGAGATGGATTCAGGTTGCCAATAACAAAACCTCAAGAGGTTTTCCAAATCTTCCTTCGAAAAGAGAGATGGGCTCAGATGTAAAATATCCAGACTGGAAAAGAATCTCTGCTTTCTTTATTCTGATTCCAGAGGTACAATTTGGATAGAGTCGTTCAAATGTGAAATCAGCTAATTGCAAACGTCTCTCCGTGGGTTTAAATGAAGGTTTATAATAAAGATGGGATTTTACGAGTGGAGGCACAGACCAAGACACACACCCCCTCCTCAAGGGAAAGGAGAAGGGGGCTTTCTTGATAACCCCCTCAGAAACCAGAGCAGGATTCCCATGCACTGAATTTTTTTTTCCCATCCGTAAATCCTTGCAGCTGGCACTGAACAAGAAATGATGTGATTCTCAATCAAACATGTTCTCGGCACAATATCCTGACCTTTTTCAAGGTTTCTAGAGACTATTAGATTGGGAAATGTTGGAACAGCCTGGCAGAGAAGCAAGTATCGAAATATGCCCGCCTGGCACTTGGCTTTTAATTCTCACGTCCTGCAATCAATGTTTTTTTGTCTCAGAAGCAGGAGCAGAGAGCAGGCGGACCAAGTCCACAGAACAAAATAAAAGGTTACGGAGAAGCCCAAGGACAAAATTAACCCTTGTCCTGTTGTTGTAGTACAACAACGGGCTGTTGATAAAGAAAGCCATTGGAGCTGCAGAGAAGAGACATTGACAGGTGGTCCTCAACTTATGACCAGGAAAAGACCTGGCTGCTTCAATAAGTTGCATACAGGAAGAGACCTAGCTGCTACAGTTGTTAAGGGAATCACTGCAGTTATTAAGTCAGTAACACAGTTGTAAAGGGAACGCCTCTTCCCCATGGTGTTTGTTTGTCAGAAGGTCGCCAAAGGAGATCACGTGATACCCACGGGACAATGCAACCGTCATAAATATGAATCAGTTGGCAAGCTTCTGAATTTTGATCACATGACTGTGAGGATGCTACCGTAGTCATAAGTGTAAAAACAGACATAAGTCGCTTCATTCAGTGCTGCCGTAACTCTGAACGATCACTAAATAAATGGTTACAAGTCAAGAACTACCTTCAAAAGCTGTTGTTGATGAATTGACTTTTTCATAAAACAAAAAAATAAAAGGTCCGTCTTGAAGAGTCAGCCAGAAGGCAGAAGAGTTGGAGATGGAGATCATAGTGATGGCTGAGGTCCTCTTGAAGACCTTTTTGAGAAGATTCCTTCACCTTGGTCTTCTCGTTGCATTCTTGCAAAGTTAAATGAAAGATATAATGGGAACGGCAGCCCCGCTGTGCTGCAAATTAAGCCCTGGTTCTTTGTTTTCCTTGCAAAGTGATGGAAAGTGGTTCCTCCAGACATCCCAGACTTAAACCCTGTGACCAAGAACAGCGCCAAATCCACAAACCCCCACCCCAAAGCCCCCGTAATAATTCACAGCTCCTTCAAAAAGCAACCAGGCTCATAAACCTCAAAGCTTTTATTTGCGTGTTTCCTCACGTCAAGTATAAAACATATTTTAAAAGAGCAGTTTGTTTTCAGGAAAAAATAAATAAAACCTTCCCCTCACCACAAAAGAGGCAGATCTATTTTTTTTTTTTTTTTGGCGCGGAAATAGGATGTCTTGTTATGCTGTTGGCGTGGATATTTTTTAATCACTGGTCCTGCATTTCTAGCTAGCATATAAAAAGCGACTAACTTTGAAATGTTATTTGTTCAAGATTTTACCTCCCGTTGCCCTTGCAGGGAACGACGGAATTGTCTGAAATGCATAGCAGAGAGGGATAGATATATATCCGTAAGGATTCTCACTTCAGCCACACCGGGGTGGGAAAAACTCAAACAAACTTTATTTATTTACTAAATTCATGTAAAATAGATATAATTTATTAAATTCATATTTAAATTTATTTTAAAGGTGTGCGTTAGTATCATGAGTAAGCATTCTCCGGGGCTAAACAACTAATCATGGTGGGAAAATAATTTAGCCACTCATCTCACGAGAAGCATCGTCCACCAGACTTAGTTTGCTACATGCGTTGGGGGGGGAAAGTACGGGGAAAAGTACGCTGCTAAAAGTTGCATACACACAGTGGAAGTTGCAGTTATGGAGAAAGCTTCCACTGGAGATAGAGGTGACCCCTTTTTTTCAAGTCTCATGTCAAAAAAAAAAAAATCTGTTGAAGAAGGAAAATTGTAACCCAATGCAGGGTTTTTCAAACTATGTCCTGTGAAACCCTGGAAGGGAGTCCATGAAAATTTGATAGGCTTCAATTCAGACCCAATAGATTTCGTATCGCGAGAGCTTTGCCTCTTGACCAGAAATTCAAGGATATACAGTGTATATTTTTAAATTAGCTAGCAGCTTCTGCAGCTTGAAATGAATTTGTAATAACTTTGGAGGAGATTCACGTCTCAAAGCATCTCTATACAGTACACTTAGTCCCCGACTTACAAACAGAACTGAGCCCCAATTTTCCATGGGTCAGTGAGACATCGGTGAAGTGAGTTTTGCCCCATTTTGCCAAAGCTGTTAAGTGAATCACTGCAGTTGTTGAATTAGTAACACAGATGTTAAGTGAATCTGGCTTCCTGTGTTGACTTTGCTGGTCAGAAGGTCAAAAAAAGAGATCACCTGAGCCCGGGACGCTGCAGCCGTCATAAATATGAGTCAGTTGACAAACAGCTGAATTTTGATCACGTGACCACGGGGATGCTGCAACGGTTGTGTGAAAAAACGGTCCTAAGTCACTTTTTTCAAATGCTGTTATAATTCTGGGCACTAAACTGTTGTAAGTCAAGGACTATCTGTATCTACAGAGCGGACAGCCTGAAATCTAAAAGACCACTTCTAGCCAATCCTAAAGCCTTAATTCTCCGGAATTTGATGCTAAACTGTATTTTTAAAAGACACAGCAAAATTATATTGGCGATCAGGTGTGTTAATTAGGTGGAAATAAATTACAGTATTGCCCACTGAAATTAAATCCAACCCTGGAAGTTTTTAAGAAGAGACTGGACAGCCGTTTGTCTGAAATGGGATAGGGTTTCCTGCCTGAGCAGGGGGTTGGAGTAGATGGCCTCCAAGGTCCCTTCCAACATTATTATTATTATTATTAAATCAGATTTAGCTATAATCCCGGCTCTGCCTAATTCCTTGACCTTCAATGCACTACCAACTCCACCATCTGTCTGAAGCTTATCCCAGAATAAAGGGAGGCCAAATGCAAGCCTTAATCTGATCGAAGTTGGTTAATGTTAGCCTTTCCTGGAGGAAAGCAAAATCCATTCACCCTGGATTAAGGGAAGAGCTGCTCAACCCGTCTGTGACGCAAACAAAGCTATGGACGTTAAACTCCCGCCTGGCCGTCAAGGAGATGGATTTAGAGAAATGGCTGCAAATAACTTTTTCTCTCCTCAAAGAGATGATCCAGTTTGTAGAAACGTAGCACACACAAACACACGCATGAAGGCACACAAACACCAACGAGACGGACAGCTCTGAGAGAATCTGCTTTTTCCTCATTATTGGTTCTGCTGCTTTTTTCTCCTGACCATGGCCGTGCCGACGCCAACGAACAAGCCAGCCAGGCCCGCGATGGTCGCCCCCACAAAAAAGTCCCGGACCTGTGAAGCGAAAAGAAAGATAAGGCACAAAGATTTTCCTTCCTTGCAAGAAAAGTCACATATTCTCCTCAGTTCCATTCAATCCACCCCACCTGCCGTGTTCCTGATGGGCTAATATGTCAGAAGTGATTGGCAATTTGTCAATCGGTCGGGGGGGGGGGAGAGAGAGAGAAAACAGCTGGAATTATGGGGAAGGGTCTGATCTGTACGGGTCTGGGGTGCTGCAGACATCGCTTTGTTCCCCAAAAGAGGATTTTTCTTCTTATTGCAAGTCCCCAACTTACAACCAAAATGGAGCCCAAAATTTCCACTGCTAAGGAAGAGGGTTGTTAAGAGGGGAATGGGGGCTTATTATTTTATTATTTTTCTTATTGTTATTTTTACTTCTTTTATAGGGTGTTTTTACATCCGTGTAAGCCGCCATATAAATATTCTAAAATAAATGAGTTTTGTCTCATTTCACGACTGTTCTGGCCACAGCAAAGGGTTGGACTAGATGACCTCCAAGGTCCTTTCCAACTCTATTATTCTGCAAATAGAATAAACTGTTAAGTGAACCAAGTAACACGGTGGTGAAACAAGTCTGGCTTCCCCATTGACTTTGCTTGTCAGAAGGTCACCCAAAGGGATCACGTGATCCCCGGGACACTGCAACTGTCTTAGGTACATGCCAGTTGCCAAGTGTCTGGATTTTGATCACGTGGCCGTGGGGATGCTGCAAGAGTTTTAGGTGCGGAAAAGAGTCATCACTCCCTTTTTTTTCCAGTGCCGTTGTAACTTGGAACGGTCACTAAACGAATGGCTGCAAAGAGAGGACTGCTTGTGTAAAAGATGCTTCATAGGGCAAACCCAGGGAAGTTAAAAAGAGGCGTTTGCACACCAGAGCTCTCCCAAGGCTTATGAATTGGCCAAAAAAAAAAAAAAAACCCACCCCAATTTTGTACAGAAAAGCTCAAAATGACGCTCTTACTTGATCGCTCCTGGCCACACCATAGCGCAACTCCGTGACAAAGTGTTCACAGTTCTCACTGGTGATTTTATATTCCAGTTCTTGCCCCACCTTCTCTTCAGCCAGCTGGATAATCTTTTGAACAGGCAAGGGGGTATATTTGGAATCGTGTTTGTTGTTGACCCGGTATCGGTCATTGCCCACCACTTCCAAGAGCCGTTCCTTCTTCACCAAGGCCTTGTTGGTGAGGGTGGACATAAGGCTGGCGCAACCTGCTCCAGCCAGTTCACCTTTAGGGGGGAAAGGAAGAGTCAGACGATCCTTTATGGAGAGCCAATATGATCTAGTGCGGACTTGTGGACTTCAACTCCCAGAATTCCCCAGCCAGCCAAGCTGGCTGGGGAATTCTGGGAGTTGAAGTCCACAGGTCTTAAAGTTGCCAAGGTTGGATAACCCTGTCCTAGATATTAGATGTTCTCTGGACACCCTTCTGATATGTAGACTTAATTCTTAGTTCTTTGCTAAGAATTCTGGGAGTCGAAGTCCATGGGTCTTAAAGTTCCCAAGGTGGAATGCCCTTGAAAGTGTTTAAGACATCAGGCCAGAAACCAGGAGTCTGTGAGTTCTAGTCCCGCCTTAAGTATGAAAGCCAGCTGGCTGACTTTGGGCCAATCACCAGGAGTCTGTGAGTTCTAGTCCTGCCTTAAGTATGAAAGCCAACTGGCTGACTTTGGGCCAATCACCAGGAGTCTGTGAGTTCTAGTCCCTCCTTAAGTATAAAAGCCAATGTAACAATTATTAAATGCATTTTTATAAGTTGAGGACTACCTGTATCCTGGCCAACATTGCTAATTTCTCAGGGTTAGAATCATGGCTAAAATGCAGAGGTGCATGCCAAGCTGGACGTTTTGCCTGGTCATTTGGTCACCCATCCAACAGAGCCTTCCTTACTTGGTGGAGCAAGATGGATCACGTAGCCATTCCCCACGTAGATTGCCCAGTGCTGGTAGGCCAAGCGGAAGATTTCTATCAAGTCCCCAAGCTCCAGATCAACCTGTGGATAAAAGAAGACGATCAAGAGCCAAGAATTGGGATGGCACGTCAAGTTCCAATTAAGAAGGTGTATTGCTCAACAAACTAACCAAGGAGAGAAGCAACCTAGAACTAAGAAGGAAATTCCCAACAGTGAGAAACAATTAACTAGTGGAACAAACTAGCCTTCGGAAATTGTGGGTGCCCCATCCCTGGAGGCTTCTAAGAAATAGGAGCCATTTATTAGAAATAATATAGTGAGGGCAGGGGGCTGGACTAGGTGACCTCCAAGGTCCTTTCCAACTGTGTTACTGTTATTAGTCAACAATACTAAACTAGAGAAGGGTCAGTGGAAATCAAGACAGATTGGAGTTAAACAATTCTTGGGAACGCCATGACTCTAGGCTGATGACGTGCTTAACGCCACCCTCCCCAGCTCTGCCTGCTCTTCTCCTACTTAGACCAAAGAAAACACATTCATGCAAAACAGACAGAAAACCCAACGGTTTAAAAATAAACCTTCCAGCTAAGGCAATTTGAGAAAGAAAGCAACATCTATAAGAATTAAAAAACAAAAAGCTCGGTCACCAGATAATCCAGGCTAAAGAAGGAGCTTTCCAGAACAGTGGACAAATGTTTCTTTTATGAAAAGGGCTGCTGCTTTGGGCGCTGACGGAGACGCACTGAAAACCCATTGTTCCTTAGCATTGCAAATTGTTGTTCCATTGTAGGAACATTTTTTTTCCTTTCTCTTTACACGCTTTGCAGATTGTTTTTCCCCATAAAACGGAGAACGTGCTCCCATCAACAATTATTTTAACAGTCTCTTGAAGGATCCTAAGTGTTCGTGAAGGATTTTTGCAGCCCTTATCTGTAAGAAATGGCCTTTCCCCTAGCCACACAACCCCCGTATGCAACCGACAATTGTTGTGGCTCTTGTTGTGCTTGTTATTACAGATGCTGAATCAATTCCAAGGCTTCTCCCGTGTCCTGCAGGGATCTTTCGTGTTATTGATTAGTTTTTCCAGCAATTCATTATTTACAACCTGCTAATCCGAAGGAGCACATCATATTAAGTATATAGAATCAGATTCCCCAATTGTGGCTAAAGGTTAGTGTTTCGAAATGTTTGAGCAATCAATTATAAATCCGATGCTCGGGGCCTTTTCATTTAATGAAGGAAAATAATGTGTAAAACTAACCTTAGGAGATATGTGCACACATGCATACAAATATTCTGCTCAGCTCCCCAAAATGTTGGGCAAACTGTGCTACAGGTACTCCTTGAGTTACGACATCTCATCTAGTGACCGTTCAGAGTTACAACAGCACTGAAAAAAAGTGACTTAGGACCATTTTTCACACTTATGACCACTGCAGCCTCCCCACGGTCATGTGATCAAAATTCAGAGGCTTGGCAACTGACTCACATTTACGATGTTTGCCGTGTCCTGGGATCACACAATCCCCTTTTGTGACCTTTGGACAAGCAAAGTCAATGGGGGGGGGAGCCGGATTCACTTAACAACCAGGTTACTAACTTGAGAACTGCAGTGGCAAGAAAGGTTGTAAAATAGGGCAAAGCAAATGTCTCACTTAGTAACAAAAAAACCTGGGGCTCAACTGTGGTCGTAAGTCAAGGACTACCTGCGCTGCAGTCGGAGGAGTCCGCTTGCCGAATTGAAGACTGTACCGAGAGTCTTCAGCCTTCAAGCGTTCATTTAGCGACCGTTACAACAGCCCTGAGAAAGTGACTTACAACTAGTCCTCGCTCTTACAACCGTTGCTGCACCCCCATGGTCACATGATCAAAATTCAGGCACTTGGCAACCAGCATGACAGTGAGAACAATTAACCAGTGGAACAACTGGCCTCCAGAAGCGGTGAATGCTCCAACACCGGAAGTTTTTAAGAAGAGACTGGACAGCCATTTGTTTGAAATGGTACTATAGGGTTTCCTGCCTGAGCAGGGGGTTGGGCTAGATGACCTCCAAGGTCCCTTCCAACATCATCATCATCATCATCATCATTATTATTATTATTATTATTATTGCAGCAGCCTGATGTGATCAGCCACCTTCCGACACACCATGAGGAATGGATGATTCATTTAACAATATATATATATATATATATATATTTTATAGAATTAGGAATAGGATGGGGTTGGGGGTTAGGATTTTTTAAAATAACATCCTTAATATTTAGCAAACAGCATGTTGTCTGGGTTCATGCATTTTTTAAAAAAACGAATAGTTATTAATTATCATAAACAATATGTTAATTAATCGTTCGATAATCTTCTTCTTACTAGTATATATTCAATGTTACATATCATGTTCCTTTCTCTCTAATTCGTTTTTCTAGCCATTGATAAAAATTATCCCATGTTCTAAAATACACTGAATCTTCTTTCTCCTTTATCCTTAAGGCCAATCTATCCATTTCTGCACACTCTAAAATTTTCTTAATTAATTCTTCTTCACTTGGTCAATTTTCATTTTCCCAATGTTGGGCAAATACAAGTCTTGCTGCAGTTAGTACATGTAAAATTAAATATATACAGTGTAAGAAAGTCCAGTCTCCTTTTGAAAAGCACTTTTGGGGCAATCGTGACCTGGATGATTGAGCATCTCCATAGTTATTTAGATAAGGTTATTTTCCATGGTTCAGAGTCCACCAGATAGTTACTATCTGCTTCCCTTTGGCAAACATTACATAATGAAACTGGAAGAATGTCACAACTTTGTCTAAGTCTAAGTCCAGTTCACACACACACATACAAACGCACTAATACTTCCATAAATGACAGCCCACACCATGCCAACAAAGCAGGACTTTGGAACAGCCAAAGCTTCAGATACTCAAACACCTAAGGCAACCTAAAAAACTCATTTGTATGCTAAAGAGCACACACAAACACTGCTTCTGTTCAGCCTCCAGTTTTCCCTTGCTGCAGCACTGCTGCCCATAAAAAGCCCCAAATCTGTGGGAAGAAATGGCTGCATTCACACATTGTCTTTCATTTGGTTTCTGAACGGTCTCCCCGTTTTCTGCATCATAAGTGTGAAAAATGGCCATAAGTCCATTTTTTTCAGTACCGTTGTAACTTTGAATGGTCCCTAAATGAACTGTTGTAAGTTGAGGACCACCTTTATCTTGATTTTGTTCAGGTGGATCCATCTTTTTCAGGGCAACTGCATTCCTAGAAGTTGGATCTGCATGATCTGTTTGGTTGTGGTTATTAAAAGGGGCCCATTTTAATTGCTATTCTTCTAGAACACTGAATGGTAATAAATTAACCCAAGCTGCTTGGTTTGACCAGATCTAATCAATCTACCCAAATCTTTAATTAAAACAAATCTAACTAACCCATCTAAGCAAAACTATAGCCCTGTATTGTGTGAATCCTGTTTTGACCTGACTCACTTTGTATAAACTGAACCGTTCCTTCTTCCCTTCCCTACAACATAACACAAGCAATAAGGATCTTATTCCATACTTCCAACGAAGGAAATCGCAGAATCTTATTCCATATTTCCAGCAAAGCAAAACACAGGTGTTTATGACATCTGCGCAAATCCCCATGGCACATACTTATGCACACAAGACAAAAGTTCCAGGTATTGTTTTTCCAAATATTTTCATGTGATATGCCTTCTGCCCAGCCTCCTTTAAAATGCAGTTTTAAATAGTTTGAATACCAGAAAACGGTTGTTTAAAAAAACAACTAAGGTACCCAATTGAACATCCATCGTAATAATGAACAACCTTAAGTGAGCTGGGTAAAAAGTTACTTTTTAAAAATCCTATTGATTTTACTGGCTTTTATGGGAAACAGAAAGAGAAAATTCTCTTATGCTTAGTGGAATGTTTGGATGTAACAGCTGTAGGTAAGAAACATGCTTGCAAATTGGCAAAAATATTTGTGCAATTCTCTTTCATGAATTTCATAAACTTTAAAAGGAAACAAGAACAAAGCAAAAGCAAACTGACAAGGAAAAAAAACTGCATATAAAGGAATAAATAAAAAGCATACACATAGATGATGACCCCCCTCCGGTTGAATACTGATAAATATATTTCAAGAATTGTAGTTTCCCCCCCCCCTTGCAAAGCAGGTCCACAATTTATGAACTTCTGATTTTTACACAATTTCTGTTTGTTCAAATAACCCCTCCCTGCCTTTTGCTCACTTACCTCGTCCATGCTGGCTATCCACTGTTTGTATCTGTGCTCACTGCAGCTTTGAGCTTCTCAGCAACACAGGACACACACCAAACCCCCCCACACACAAACACTGTGTCCTTTTGGAAGCTGCCTGAACAGAACTAACAATTTGGAATAGACAGGATGCAAAATGAAAGTGGGAGAGCTGAGTCTGCTCTGAAAAGCATCACATGGAAAAAATTATGCAGTCTAGTCAGGGACAGCTGGCCAATCAAGAAAAATATCTGTGTCACGGATGTGTGGGTTTTTCTCGGTATCAAATGTCAGTCCCTAAACCAGCAACGTTCAACCATTGACTCCAGTTAACCAGGAAAAAACTAATAAACTTCATGCTTCCTATTGGCACCTGGATTAGAAGTTTAGCCTGCCAAAAAAACCAACCAGTTTCTATTTTGCTTATTATACATGTAGTCCTCAACTTACGACAGAGTTGGAACTAGAATTTCCATTGCTAAGAAAAAAGCGATTGTTAAGGGATTCACACCCGGTTCGATGACCTTTGCCCCTGGTTGTTAAGTAAATCACTGGGGTGAAGGGAACCATGCAGTTGTTAAGTGAATCGTGAGGCAGTGTCATGTATTTATGATGGTCGCAATGTCCTGGGGTCATGCAATCCCCTTTTGCGAACTTCTGTCAATCAATGTCAGTGGGGAAGCCAGATTCACTTAACAACCAGGTTACTAACTTAACAAGTGCAGCGATTCACTTAACAACCGTGGAGGCAAGGTCGTAAAATGGGGCAAAACTCACTTAACAGCTTAGTAATGGAAATTTTGAGCTGAATTGTCCAGGACTAAATGTACAGTTATAGACCAGCATAATAAAATAATGTGGGTCACTTTGGTGGAAAAAAGCAGAAAAGAGATACAGGATGTTCTGCAGTCTACACAATCTTTCTGGATTCATTTATTTAATTTGATAACTTACCAGATTGGAAAGTTTTGCTTTGATGGTTTTAGGAATGGAGCTCTTCTGGTGCTCCATATCACCATGTGCTACCGAACAACCACGACCTGAGATCAAACCAACATGTCAATACTTCTGATAAGCCCGGAAGAGTCACACCAATTTGAACCTCTATCCCTTCCAAGCATCTCTATCTGTTCTAAAGCTTTCTCAGAATACTTTCCAGAAGCATAAAGCAAAAAAGGCAATCACAACTGAAAAAGACACAATGGGAAAGGTATAAAAGAAAAGGAAATCTTTTTGAGTGCTTCTTAAGCACTCTTTTTGGTCAAAGCCAACAAATCATGGTTTGATTATTGTGGGCCATCCAGAGTTATTGAGAGTTGGGCGGCATACAAGTTTAATAAATTATCATTATTATAATTCTTCAGCCAAGCAAGAGAAACTTCCAGCATTAATATCTATCTGCTAACCAAATCTTAAGCTGCCTTTTGTAAACAGAAGCTCTTTCAAATGTTTTCAGATCCATTCTCAAAACACAAGCAGCCCAAACAGAAATCCAAACATAACAATATTTTTAAAAGGGCTGTGAAATAAAAATAGCTAAAAAAAAAATTAAAAAAAAACAGGAAGAGGACTAGAATTAAAAAAAAAAAAAGCCCATTCCACAGCCAAAAATAAAGAAAAATGAAAAAGGTGCTGAATCTACCAGTATTTTGACCATGTTTTTTATTAAATAAAACAACTAATAAAACAGGGGTTTTTTTAATTAAGTAAATAAATCAATCAAGAATGCTTCTCTTGACCTGCAGGTGTTATCTGGAATTTATGATTAGCAGTTCAAAAAGATAATATTAGTGCTTTTAATATGGCTGCCTACCTCTCTTTTCCTAACTTCAGGAAAATATCTTTTTTTTCCCCTTAGCCAAGCCCCCCCCCTTTTTTGGTATGCAAGAACTTATCTTTCCTAAGAGAATAAACAATAGGGAGCACATTCTGAAAAGCCCTTGAATGCACTTGCAGGTTTTAAGAAAGATACAAACTCAGCTGGAGAAGAGTCACATCATTCATAAATTTGCCTCTTGGGGAATCCAATCCAGAATCCACGTTTTCTCTTGTTCGTCGACAATGTCTTTTATTAGTGGATCAATTGCTTTATGACCCGGCACACCTACTCAAGGCAAGCAGTCCTCCACTTACAACAGTTCATATAGTGACCGTTTCAAAGCTACAATGGCCTTGAAAAAAGTGACTTAGGACCGGTTTTCACATTCACGGCCGCTGCAGGTCACGTGATTGAAATCCGGACGCTTGGCAACTGACTCATAGTTATGACGGTCGCAGCGTCCCAGGGGAGGGTCACGTAACCCCCTTCTGGGACCTTCTGACAAGCAAAGTCAAGAGAGGAGCCAGATTCTGCTTTACAACCGTGTCCCTAACTTAAGAACTGCAGTGGTTCACTTAACAACGGGGCAAGAAAAGTCATAAAATGGGGCAAAATTCACTTAACAACAGAAATGTTAGGCTCAATTCAGGCCGTAAGTCAAAGACTGTCTGTATATGGTTTACTTATTTCTGTACCCCATTTTAAAAAAAACCAGTCAGCCCTCTCCCTTAATAAATGCTTGTTGCTTTGCCTGAATTACTTAGTGGTTTATATTTGTAAATAGGCTAAGAAGCCCTTTTTGCAAATGTAAAAAAAGTCTCCCTGTCTCTCAAATTCAGGGCTATGTTCTCATCGGCGCCACACCAAACTCGGGGTGCCTGAATTTTGCAGGGCACGCAGGTGCGCCCAGTTGCACGGAGGCTATACCTTTGGAAAACAAAGTCTGATGCTGCAATTTCTTGCTCTTCTTCAACCCTACGGCATGGCCCGTCTTGGCAGCCCCAGAGAGTGCCTTGGTGGGCACCCCTGGCTGGTCTCCCTTGGCGTTCATGTGTGGCGCGTGGAGGAGACCGCTTCGTGCTCCTCTCATTGTGGCATGCGGAGGTCTCGCCAACTGCTTCTCGGTGACACTCAGAGTTTGGGGGCCGTGTCCCCCTGAAGCTTGGGTTGGACCCACCAAAGACCTGCTGCTCTTCTGCTTGGCACTGCCTTGCTGGCAAGCCACCGGCCTTTTCCCATTGTCCTCTACCCAACACAGCTTCTTCCCAACTAAATTGGGATGCTCTGTGGGCCGGCCAACGTCCTTCTTCGAGGGGGCCTCATTGTGAGTGGGGGGCGACGTCCCTTGGGGGCCTTTGGTGGGCGGCTTGGGATCTTTCGAGCCTTCCACGACCAGCGGCTTATTTGCAGCCTGCTTCTTGCCTGTCGGCAGCCTAACAGGAACGGAGGCTGACGTCTTCATGGTGCCCCCCTTGGCCGGCAGGGTCTTGGGTGGGTGGGCAACATTCTGGCAGGATCCGCGCTCACAGAACCAAACAAAGAAGTCAGACATAGCACTAGCCAGGCTGGGTCTCCTCTCCTCTGGCCTGGCAGCTGCTGAGGGTCCCCAATGGATTATGACAAGGGTCTTCTCCTGGCAACAGGGACTTATGACCCCCTGCCCCTCCCTTTGGCTTGGCATCCCTGGATTGGACCAGGGTAGCCCCCCCCCCAGCCTTATAAAAGAAGTCAGTAAGGGTTAGTTTTGACCTGTGTCCTTAGTTGCTATGTGGTGGGCAGAAATTAAATCAGTGAAGTCAAGAGCTGCTATAAATAATTTAGAATAGAGTAGGGTAGGGTAAGGTAAGGTAAGGTAGGATAGGGTAGAGTAGAGTAGAGTAGAGTAGAGTAGAGTAGGGCAGGGCAGGGCAGGGTAGAGTAGAATGGAATAGAATAGAATAGAATAGAATAGAATAGAATAGAATAGAATAGAATAGAATAGAATACGAATAGAATACGAATGAATAGAATAGAATAGAATAGAATAGAATAGAATAGAATAGAATAGAATAGAATAGAATAGAATAGAATAGAATAGAATAGAATAGGGAAATTAGAATAGAATAGAACAGAATGCAGAAAGAATAGAATAGAATAGAATAGAATAGAATAGAATAGAATAGAATAGAATAGAATAGAATAGAATAGAAGCTGGAAGAGACCATGGAGATCTTCTAGTCTAACCTCCTACATCGAGCATTCTAGACAAATACTATAAAAAATTAAAATAATAATACAAAAGAAAATAAAAGTACCTGGAAACAGCCAAACCAATAAGCTTAGAAAAAACAAAAGTGGATTGGCCTCCCTACACACATGCAAACACACACACGCAAACACACACACGCAAACACACACACGCAAACACACAGTAAAAGGATGCCAAATTCCGGCTGCAAGTGAAGCTAAAATTCAGCAACCCAGTCCTGTTGCTTGCTGGGTGGGTTTTTTTTTTTTTCTTTGTTTTACTTAGGAAAATACACGCAGGTCCTATTTTAGAACTTTCCTGGCTGATGGAGAATCATATGCCAGCTGCTTTGCCCCCCCCCCCAAGCGCCCCCCCCCCCACAGTTCTTCCACTGCATCTCCCATTCAGAACAACTGAGAAAGAGGCGGGAGGCAGGAAATTACATTGAATTCGTCATTTTATTGGGTACAGGGCCCCATAAATAAAAGAAAAGCAAACCTTTTTCTGGCGATCAGCAAGTCAGCAGGGATTTTGACACATCAGCTGATAAAACGTAGAAAGGAGGGACAGTCAGTGGCAGCCTGGCTCCTCCCTTCTCTGTCCTTGGAGAAAAGCCAATTTTTTTCCCCTACTTCTAAAAGCAAGTGGGAGTTCAGGAGTGGCGTTGCTGCCCCCTGCTGGAGAAATGTTGGTCCACATCTGGTTACCATCTGCATGGCAATCTACGTAGAACATAGAATCATACGGTGGGAAGGGACCTTGGAGGTCTTCTAAACCAACCCCCAAGCAGGGGATCCTATAACATTCCAGACGAATCTAAAGGGGGTGTCAAACTATTCTTCAAAGCACCAGAGGGAAGGACGAGAAACAATGGTTGGAAACTGACCAAAGAGAGAAACAACCTGGAATTAAGGAGAAAGTTCCTAACAGTGAGGACAATTAACCAGTGGAACAGCTTGCTACCAGAAATCATGGGCGCTCCATCACTGGAGATTTTTAAGAAGGGACTGGACAGTCACTTGTCTGAGATGGTATAGGTTCTCTTGCTTGAGCGGGGGGCTGGACTAGAAGACCTTCAAGGTCCCTTCCAGCTTCTATTCTATTCTATTCTATTCTATTCTATTCTATTCTATTCTATTCTATTCTATTCTATTCTATTCTGACATTGTTAAAAACCACACATTAAAACTATAAAATTAAACTGATGAATAGTTTGCCAAAGACTCAGATGTCACCAACGCTGTGCCACCAACCCCAGACTAGGGGGAGGGGAAAGCTTTCCCTGTTGAATTTCTGCCACAACTCATTCACCAATGTACACTGGATCCAAACAGTAGGGGGAGGAGGTGGGGGGAGAATATAGCCCAAATTTGATAAAAATAGGGAGCAGGAAACCAAATCACACCCACTAAATCAGTGTTTTTCAATCTTGGCTCTTTTAAGACATGTGAAGTTGGGTGAGGAATTCTGGGAGTTGAAGTCCACCCATCTTCAGGTTACTAAGATTGAGAAACGCCACACATGATAACATACGTAGAAAGGGGGGGCTAATATCTCCAGGATGGGCTGCAAAGGATGAATGCAAAGAATCTTCTCCCAAAATAATTTTGCATGGATATATTTGAGAATGCTCGTAAAGCACATGGGCTTCAGCCTATATGAGGATGTAAATGGAGACCCACCTGGAAACAATTTCTAACCTCTGCAGTTCTCGATCTGCTGTTTAGAGCAGAAGTCCAAATATCTCTTCAAGGGAGATGGTAATGGGTAGAGATGAAGGTGCAGGATTAGGAGAGAGGAGACCCAGGTTCTAGACCCCTTGTGGAGAGCTGCACCCAGTGGACAGACAAGGGCATCCCTCACCCAAGTGATGTAGCCAGATGTGGAGATGACACCTTCTCTCTGGGTTGAGATATGGAATGTGGAGATGAGACATCTCCTTGGGGACATCAAATCAACATTAAATTGGATGCTGCTCAGTTCAAAGATGGAATGTTGTTATCAACAAACCTCAAGGAAAGTTCAGGGACCATTCCAGCTGACCATCAGTCTAAGCCAAGCGTCTGCAACCCTCTTGCCGAGAAGATAGAGATGGACCATCTGAGATGAAGAAGACAGACCCTCAGAGCCCGCAATGTAGCGCCCGACCAGATCAAGTCGAAACATGGTCCAAGAAAGTAGGGAGAAATTGCACCAGACATTATCTTCATTGGAAGGTAAACGTTTATTTGGAAGTTGTGACTGAAACTGGGTGTGGAGAGGAGAGCATCAAGAATAGGCTTTTGACCAACTGCTATCTCAAGGGAAAAGAAAAGAAGGCAGAGAGAGAGAGAGGCAAAGAGAGAGGGAGGAGGCAAAAGCACATCAGAGAAAGTGAATTCTTCAGGACTGTTAGTTGAAGCCAAATGTCTATGGAGATTCTCAATCATCCAAATCATAGTTGCTCCAGACGTTTTCCTTGCTACATCTTCAGAGTAGCAGGAGAGCCAAAGCTGCTGCCATGGCATACCAAACTGCTTTTTTGACCTGCAAATTGAAGAGATAGACTAGGATCAGCAAAGATCTTTTTTGATTCAAGGAAGGAACATATTACATAATCCTGAAAAACGGCCTGAATTTTCTATAGTTTGATCAGGTTTCCCGCAACCTAGAACATACCATCATCTATCATCCTCATCATTTTAGCCATTGTCTATCTGTTCTGTATCAGACAGAACAGATTGCATTGAGTCCCATCCGGGACAGACAGATAACTCAGCAGAATAAGCAAAGAATATTGCTTTCATTTCTAGGAATCCTAAACAATAACTCACTGTTATGTAGAGATATGTCCAGAAACATATTTAGCGGTATAGCTCATTCCACAGGTAATTTGATAATGGATTTTCCCCTCTTCTTCTGCATAAGCATTACATGTTGGCATAGGACCTCCAAGCCATGTGGCTAGGAGGCATGAGGCTGGATGAAAACAAAGGAACCTTTCCCAACAGGCTTGTGGCTAGGATATCCTGTAATAAACTTTGGTGGCTCCTCCCACTGACCTACTAACATGATATAGATGACTAACTAAAACTACATTACCCATAAGCCATCTCTTAAGGAGACAGCACTTAACCCAATAAATGCCAGATATTCTAACATACAGATACATGCTCTATTCAGGGTTACATATACACGATCCAGAACATTATCCACTGCAGGATGAAGGCCTCTTCCGCATATACCTTGGCCAACGGATCTCAGTGGAAGGTGATAGAATAAAGGTCTGGAGCCAAGCATGAGAACAGGCCGAGCTGAGGGAGGGAGGATAGCAGAATAACAGAGTTGGGAGGGGCCTTTGAAGTCTTCTAATGCAGCCCCCCACTTGAGCAGGAGACCTTATATCATCCTGGACAAAGGGTTGTCCAATCTCTTCTTGAACACCTCCAGCGATGGAGCATCCACAGTCTCTGGAGGCAACTTGTTCCATTGATTGTTCTCACCCTCAGGAAATTTCTCCTTAACTCCAGATTGGATCTCTCTTTAAGGATCTTCCACCTATTACTAATTGTCCTGACCTATTCAGGTGTTTTGCAGAATATGTTAACCCCCTCCCCCAATGGGCTTCGGGGCTAGTTGGACTGCAGTTCCCAGAATTCCCTGGATCCCAGAGCCAATGCAATTCTGGGAGTTGTAGTCCCAACACAACCGTAGAGCACCAAGAGAGATGAGCCTTCTCATCACTCAAGAGAAGGCAGCAGTGCTGGTTAATGCTCTTGGGATAATCCTCCCGAGACTGAGATTGCAAGAAATTTGTCTAAATGTCCAAAAACTGCACTCACTTGATCACTGCGAGCTACATCATAGCGCAGGCTGTTGGAAAAATGCTCACAATTCTCGGTGGTGATTTTATAATTCACTGTTTTGCCCTCCAGCTTCCTAGCCATAGTGACAATTTGATCTGGGGTTCGGACATTATAGATGGCGTCATGCTTGTTGCTAACACAGTAGCGATCTCTTCCGACCACATTGGACACTGGTTCTCTCTTTATCATTGCTGTATTGGCCCAGAGAGACTTCATGCTGGCAGCTCCAGCTCCAGCACATTCACCTTCAGAAGAAAGAGGGGATGTGAGAGTCAGGAAAGAAAGAGAAATGCCTACCCATAGAAGAGAATTTTTGTAGGGCTGAACTGTAGAGGACTTGGCGCTCTCTGAACGTGGTTGTTCTCTTGCAGACCCAATAGGTAACATCATCATGCTAGGAGGGGGAGGGGTTTGCAGGGAGGAGGAGGAGGAAGAGGAGGAGGACGACGACTATGGGGTCCTTAGTGCTATCATTTTTGCTTTCTTGCAGATGTTTCATTACCTAGCTAGGTAACATCATGCTAGGAGGGAGGGGGGTTGTGGAGAGGAGGAGGACGACGATGACTCTGAGGTCCTTAGTGCTCTCTCAGTTTGATTTTCTTACAGATGTTTCATTACCCACCTATTACCCATAATCCTCAGCTCACCGCCACAATTGGGACCAGAATTTTAATTTCTAATCAGGGCGGTGGTTAAGTGGATCTCTCCTGATTTTGCAAGCTCTCTTTGTCACTATTGATAAGTGAATCGTTGCCGTTCTTAAGCGAGTCACGCGGTCATTAAGCAAATCCAACGTCCCCAACCTATCTAGTCTGTCGGAAGCTGGCTGCAAAGGACACAAAGGTCAACCACAAAACCCCAGGGGCTGCAGCTGGTATAAATACATGCTGGCTGTCAAGTGCCCAAATGATTGATCACGTGACTGTGTGGATGCCATGAGGGTCCTAAGTGCTAATTTTCTGGCTTGGTCCCGCTCTTCAGATGTTCGTAGCAGCTGGCCAGAACTGAAGGCGAGGTCTATCCTAAACCACGGCCCAAGACTAATATCCAGCTCAGATACAAATATTCTGATGGAGTTTTGCGGGTCATTTGGCTAGCCCAGCCTGGGTCCCTTACTTGGTGGAGCCAGATGGATAACGTCGCCCAAACCCACATAGACGGCCCAGTGCTGGTATCCCGTCCGGAAGATCTCAATCAAGTCCCCTGGCACCAGGTCCACCTACAAGGAAAGGGAGACCAGATTGCAGTGGAGAGGAAGCAGTGAGACCCACCCACCCTGCCAGGATCAATACTAAACCTGCAAACAGATGCAGAACTCGCAAGTACCGTTAAAGCAGAACCCAAGCCTACAAGCCATCATGCATGCAACAGGGCAGGAAGTTAAAAAAAATACATAAAAGTTGCAGAATCAAAAGAACAACAGAATAACAGAGTTGGAAGCGACCTTGAAGGTCTTCTAGACCAACCCCCTAAGCGTGCTAGGAGTTGCAATCCACACCTTTTAAAACTGACAAAGATCATTATTGCACTTCTGGGTCTCTATCGACCTCCTCCAATTAAACCCGCCTTCCATTCATTTTCTTTCCTGCGACAAACTGATGCCATAAAATTAGCCCGCAAAGCTGAATTGCAGAAAAAATAATTGGATACACCCAAGGGTGGGATTCAAATATATGAAAAACCAGTTCTCTGCGTGGATGCCTCTTTCGGGGCAAAGTTCACCCTGAAAAGTACAATCCAGCAGTCCAAGGGGTCATAAAACACACCCAACAGCCACACATACACAAATACACAAAGCAATTGTAAGGTTTTCCACTTAGCCTCACAATGGCCCCAGCGTTACTCAGGAATTTAAAAGAGCCAAAGAAAACTCCTGAGTCGAGATTTTGACAAGCAAACAACTTTTACTTTGATCCAAATAAGAGTTGGGTGACCCCATCTCTCTTTGTGGCTGGTAGAGAAATGAAGGCAATAATCAGAAAAGATGTCTTCCACCTTTTATACCTTTCCAGAAAAAAAAGATCAGGTCTTGGTACCAAGCATAAGATGGCACAAAAAAATAATTCCTAGATGATGACTCATGCACAGCAATCCAGCCTCCATCCGTAACTCCTTTTTTATCCCTTCCGCTTGCTCTGCTCTTTTCATGTAAGCAATCACCTGTACCTAAAGCATGAAACATTTGCTTTTATATAACTAACTTCCCAATATAAAGCACCTAAAAAGCTGCTTGCACATAAACAAAGATAGATAGATAGATATCTTTTAAAATATTAAAAATGTGAATCCTGGGCATTATGCTAATAAATAAAATAAAAAAACAAATACCAGGATATAATAAACCAGCCTGTTTAATATAAACAAGCCTGTGGTTAAGAAGAGTCACTAAATTTTTGTCCGGCCAATATATATTGATTACAAAATAATCAATATTACTAATATCAAGTTTAGGCATAATAAAATCCCTTCAGCAATCCTTTTTCTTTCCGTCTCCATCTTAGAATCCTGTCCCAGTTCACTTACTTCGCCTCTCCAGGATGCTTTGTTGGTCATATTTATACCAGCTGCGTTTTTTTTTTTTTTTTCCTTCCTAGGAATCTGGAGTAAGAAAACGTCTAAGTGACGGAGGAGAAGCTGGGAGCTTTGAAAAGGTCCCAAGCAAGATCTGTTTGAGGGGATCCTGTCTGAAGGCAATAAATAGTAATCGTGGAAAGTGAAAGTAAAGCTAGCACAAATGCAGACTGCCAAACAGGCCGATAAGGTATTAGTGTCACTTCCGCAAGAACAATAGCAGCTTTCAGTTCTGATTTCCTAGAAATGTCCCTTTTGACTGTAAAACTGGGGAGGGGGAGCAGGAAAACCGAGTCATTGATATAGGATTTCAATTGTTTCGATTTCTATTGCCTCCTGTCTCAGCAAACAACTCTGGGAGACTCACAATTCAAAAATGTATGTTAGAATTAAAATCTTAAAACCACTTAAACCAGATTAACTTCATGCTCAAAACTCTTGCCTTGGAGCGAAGACTTTTTGAATTCTGATGGAGCAAAGGAAGTTCTCATTTTCTGGTAACCAAGCACAGAAATGAACCGACGACTCATTTGGGACCTTGTCACTTAAGGTGGCACATTTGGGAACCAGACGCCATTTCTGTATTCTGAAAACTCAGGACAAATGTTTCACAAACTCCCATGTTTGGCTGATGAGATTGCTGGTGTTTTTGCCAGTTTCCAGCAAAAAAACACCCATTGGGGAAAGTGTTCTCATTTAATGAACATGTCTTTTGCTTAACAACTTTAGCATCACATGTAACCCCTTATTTTCACACATAAGGATGGTATGCGTCACAAGTGCAAAAGGTTAGCAAACGCCTTGCACACCCTGAATATGAAGATTGTCATCTGCCCATCCTTCCTAATTTTGGACAGTTCTCAAAATCCCATTAGCAAGGAAGGAGGTCTGAAAGCTCGCAGTCCAAATTGGTTTGGGGGCTGCCTGGGCTGCAGTTCCCAGAATTCCCCAGTTCCTAGAGCGAATGGAATTTGAAGCATGGCCCAAGCAAGTATGGAAGAAATTGCACCAGACATTATCTTCATTGGAAGGTAAACTTTTATTTGGAAGTTGAAACTGGGCGTGGAGAGGAGAGCATCAAGCATAGGCTTTTGACCAACTGCTATCTCAAGGGAAAAGAAAAGAAGGCAGAGAGAAAGAGAGGCAAAGAGAGAGGGAGGAGGCAAAAACATATTAGAGAAAGTGAATTCTTCAGGACTGTTAGTTGAAGCCAAATGTCTATGGAGATTCTCAATCATCCAAGTCATAGTTGCTCCAGACGTTCTCCTTGCTAGATCTTCAATAGCAGGAGTGCCAAATGTTTTGCCATTGGTAACCAGAGCACATATCTGATCTGCAAATTGAAGAGATAGACCAGGATCAGCAAAGATCTTTTTTGATTCAAGGAAGGAACATATTACATAATCCTGAAAAATGGCCTGAATTTTCTACAAGTTTTCCCCCAACCTAGAACATACCATCACTTATCACCCTTATCATTTTAGCCATTGTCTATCCACTGCAGGATGAAGGCTTCTTCCGCATATACCTTGGCCAAGGGATCCCGGTGGAAGGTGATACAATAAAGGTCTGGAGCCAAGCATGAGAACAGGCCGAGCTGAGGGAGAGAGGGAAGAAGGAAGGAAGGAGGAAGGAAGGAAGGAAGGAAGGAAGGAAGGAAGGAAGGAAGGAAGGAAGGAAGGAAGGAAGGAAGGATAGTAGAATAACAGGATTGGAAAGGGCTGTTGAAGTATTCTGGTGCAACCGCCCACTCAAGTAGGAGACCTTATACCGGAGGTGTCAAACTGCTGGCCCGCAGGCTGGATGCATCATAGTGAAACTGTGCCCACCCCATTGCGGGCAATGGCAAAAAAGTCACGATATGTCGCGACACGCCACGTGACGTTGCGAATTTGACACGCCTGCCTTATACCATCCTGGACAAAGGGTTGTCCAATCTCTTCTTGAACACCTCCAGCGATGGAGCATCCACAATCTCTGGAGGCAACTTGTTCCATTGATTCTTCTCACCCTCAGGAAATTTCTCCTTAATTCCAGGTTGGATCTCTCTTTAAGGATCTTCCACCTGTTACTAATTGTCCTGACCTGTTCAGGTGTTTTGCAGAATACGTTAACCCCCTCCCCCAATGGGCTTCGGGGCTAGTTGGACTGCAGTTCCCAGAATTCCCTGGATCCCAGAGCCAATGCAATTCTGGGAGTTGTAGTCCCAACACAACCGTAGAGCACCAAGCGAGGTGAGCCTTCTCATCACTCAAGAGAAGGCAGCAGTGCTGGTTAATGCTCTTGGGATAATCCTCCTGAGACTGAGATTGCAAGAAATTCGTCTAAATGTCCAAAAACTGCACTCACCTGATCACTGCGAGCTACATCATAGCGCAGGTTGTTGGCAAAATGCTCACAATTCTGGGTGGTGAGTTCATAGTCCAATATTTGGCCCTCCAGCTTCTCAGCCATAGAGACAATCTGATCTGGGGTTCGGACATCATAGGTGGCGTCATGCTTGTTGCTAACACGGTATTTATTTTTTCCTACCACATCGGACAGTGGCTCTCTCTTCACCATTGCTTTCTTGGCCCAGAGAGACTTCATGCTACCAGCTTCAGCTCTAGCTTCAGCACATTTATCTTCAGAAGGAAAGAGAGGATGTAAGAGTAAGGAAAGAAAGAATCCGTGCCCAGAAATTCCTAGCCATAGAAGAGAATTTTTGTAGGGCTGACCTGTAGAGGCCTTAGTGCTCTCTGAACGTGGTTTTTCTCTTGTAGATCCAACAGCTAACATCATCATGCTAGGAGGGGAGGGGTTTGCAGGGAGGAGGAGGAGGAGGACGAGATGGAGGACTATGGGGTCTTTAATGCTCTCTCAGTTTCGCTTTCTTGCAGAAGTTTCATTACCTAGCTAGGTAACATCATCATGCTAGGAGGGAGGGGGGTTGTGGAGAGGAGGAGGAGGAGGAGGAGGACGACGACGATGACTCTGGGGTCCTTGGTGCTCTCTTGGTTTGGTTTTCTTGCAGATGTTTCACTACCCACCCATTATCCATAATCCTCAGCTCACCGCCACAATTGAGACCAGAATTTTAATTTCTAATCAGGGCGGTGGTTAAGTGAATCTCTCCTGATTTTGCAAGCTCTCTTTGCCACTATTGATAAGTGAATCATTGCCGTTCTTAAGCGAGTCACATGGTCATTAAGCAAATCCAGCTTCTCCAACTTATCTAGTCTGTCAGGAGCTGGCTGCGAAGGACACAGAGGTCAACCACAAAACCCCAGGGGCTGCAGCTGGTATAAATACACGCTGGCTGTCAAGTTCTCAAGTGATCGATCACGTGACTGTGTGGATGCCATGACGGTCCCATTGCCCAAGACCAATATTAACGCTCAGATACAAATATTCCGATGGGGTTTTGCGGGTCATTTGGCTAGCCCGCCCTGGGTTGCTTACCTGCTGAAGTCAGATGGACAACCATGCCCAAACCCACATAGACGGCCCAGTGCTGGTATCCCGTCCGGAAGATCTCAATCAAGTCCCCCGGCTTCAGGTCCACCTACAAGGAAAGGGAGACCAGATTGCAGTGGAGAGGAAGCAGTGAGACCCAGCCAGCCAGCCAGCCTGCCAGGATCTCTACTAAACCTGCAAACAGATGCAGAACCCACAAGGACCGTTAAAGCGGAACCCGAGTCTACCAGCCATCATGCATGCAACAGGGCAGGACGCTGGAAAAAAATACATAAAGTTGCGATGCAACCTACTGCAGAATCAAAAGAAGAACAGAATAACAGAGTCGGGAGGGACCTTGACAGTTGCTGGAATTGGGTATGTCTAGTTTAATGAAGAGAAGGACGAGGGGGGGACATGATAGCAGAGTTCCAATCTCTCAGGGGCTGCCCCAAAGAAGAGGGAGTCCAGCTGTTCTCCAAAGCGCCTGAAGGCAGCACAAGAAGCAACAGATGGAAACTAATCAAGGAGAGAAGCAACCTAGAATTAAGGAGAAACTTCCTGACAGTGAGGACAATTAACCAGTGGAACAACCTGCCTCCAGAAGTGGCGAATGCTCCAACACTGGAAGGTTTTAAGAAGAGACTAGACAGCCATTTGTCCGAAATGGTATAGGGTTTCCTGCCTGAGCAGGCAGTTGGACTAGATGACCCCCAAGGTCCCTTCCAACTTTATTGTTGTTGTTGTTGTTGTTATTGTTGCTGTTATTATTATTACCCCCTAAGCATGCTAGAAGTTGCAATCCACATCTTTTAAAATTGAGAAAGATCGTTATTGCATTTCTGGGTCTCTATGGACCTCCTCCAATTAAACCCGCCTTCCATTCATTTTCTTTCCCGCGACAAACTGATGCCATAAAATTAGCCCGCAAAACTGAATTGCAGAAAAAGTAATTGGATACACCCAGGGGTGGGATTCAAATATGTGAACAACCGATTCTCTCGGTGGATGCCACTTCCAGAAGTCCGTTCTGGGCCTGGGCAACCAAACGTTAGCTACAGGTTCTGCCAAACTGGTGCGAACCGGCTGAATCCCACCACTGGATACACCCTCTCTGAAACTCAAGCCACCAACATCCTGTCTCCAGAATACATAAGGCATAAAAATTAAGGAATTGGGACAAGTTCAGCCTGAAAACTACAATCCAGCATCCAAGGGGTCACAAAACACAACCCAACACCCGCACATGCACAAATACGCAAAGCAATACTTTTTTCTTTCGGTCTCCATCTTAGAATTCTGTCCCTGTTCACTTACTTCGCCTCCCCAGGATACTTGGTTGGTCATTATTTATGCCAGCTGTGTTTTTTCTCCTTCCCGGGAATCTGGAGTAAGAAAACGTCTAAGTGACGGAGGAGAAGCTGGGAGCTTTGAAAAGGTCCCGAGCAGGATCTGTTTGGGGGGATCCTGTCGGATGGCAATAAATACTAACCGTGGAAAGCTAACACAAAACAACCCCAGAATAGTATTACGGGTCACTTCCGCAAGAACAATAGCAGATTTCAGTTCTGATTTCCTAGAAGTGTCCCTTTTGACTGTAAAACTGGGGGGTGCAGGAAAACCGAGTCATTGATATAAGATTTGATTTGTTTCGATTTCTATCGCCTCCTATCTCAGCAAACAACTCTGGGAGACTCACAATTCAAAAATGTATATTAGAATTAAAATCTTAAAACCACTTAAACCAGATTAACTTCATGCTCAAAACTCTTGCCTTGGAGGTGGGGGGAAGACTTTTTGAATTCTGGTGGAGCAAAGGAAGTTTTCCTTTTTTGATAATCAAGCACGGGCCATTTGGGAACCAGATGCCAAGTAGGAAACCTTATACCACCCCATTCAAAGTCTATTTTTGAAGACTCCCAGTGATTGAGCACCCCCAACTCCAGGAGGCAAGCTGCTCCACTGATTGTTTTGAACCCAAGACCCGGGACCGAGGGTTTCTAATCTGAATCAAGAGTTCGGCAAGCTTTAAACGTTTCAGATTCAAAACGTTTCCCCACGTCTACCTTTTGCCCTTTCCTGTGGCTGGGAGTTCCACAGGTTAGCTACAAAGGGAGCCCATCGGTGCCCAGGCAGATTCCCCTCCATCGAATACATACCCAGGAAAGCCAGGAAAAAACTGTGTCTTTGAGTTGATGCCAACATTCGGCAAAGAACTGCCCCAAAAGACAGAAAGCAACACTGAAAATCAGTTGCGTCAATAAATCACACTCCTGCCTACCTGCAGCTGCAAGGGCTGTTGTTGACAGAAACCACATGACAGAACATCCTTCATTTGGTGTCTAAGATCAGCCACGCTCTCTGGCTTTGCACAAGAATGTGCAAATATTATGCATGTTTGCTGTTTTGAGTTACTTATTAAAAAGTCAGGATAAAAATCTAATGAATAAATGAATAAAAATTCTCCAGACAGAACAGTGGGAGTTGAAGTCCACCCCTCTTTTTAAGGGAGCTGCTGGCTGGGGGATTCTGAGAGTTGAAGTCCACCCATCTTAAAGCATGCTGGCTAGGGAATTCTGGGAGTTGAAATCCACCCATCTTAAAGCATGCTTGTTGCAGAATTCTGGGAATTGGGAAGTCCTCTTAAAATTGACAAGGTAGAGAAACTGTGGCCTAATAATTGCAGATGTCTAAACTCTTTATTACAATATTAGGGCAACGACACTACCCTTATTGTGGTTCACCCTTTGCTTTCCACAGGAGTCAAACAAACAAACAAACAAACCCTGGCACCCTTGTGACATAACATTTATTATAGCATCAGATTTTCTGATTCTCTGTCCACTTCCTTTAGTCAAGCCTGCCTTGGTTTCTCTCCTGCAAAAGGTGGCTGTGTAAAATCATCCTGCGAAGCTGAATGCAGAGCACACGGTTGGATGCGTCCTTCTTTGAAACTCACCCACCCATATCTGACATCCTGTCTCCAAGATACGTTAAGACATAAAGGAATTAGGAGAAAGTCTATCCTGAAAAATGTAGTGCAGCACCCAAGGAACCACAAAACAGACTGCAAGAGCCACTAGCAGAGATAGCTAAAGTTTCTGAGCAACTTGAAGAATTTGAAGGAGGTCCCTCACAACCCCTCTTCCCTTCACAACCTTACACTGCACATTCAAACCCGTTTTCCCCTAATGTCTCCATCCTAGGCTTCAGTCCTGTTCACTTACCTCTCCCATCCTGGATGTTTTGCTAGCGATATCTTTCCTGGCTGAGGCTTTGCCCATCGCAGGAATCTGGAGCAACAAAATTCCTGAGCTTTGAAAAGATCCAGAACAGGTTCTGTTTTGGGGGACTCCTGTCTGAATGTAATCAAGGCATGGACCGAAAATGAAAAAGAAGCAAACACAACGCAGACTTTGCTCACAGCCACTCCCAAAATGGAAGTGGTCTTGTTGTAAAGGCTCTCCTATGCAACTTCCAGCTTTTTTTCCTTTCACTTTTGGTTAGAAATATCCTTCTTGACGCCAACTGCTTATCTTGTTTGTTTGTTTTTTATTTAGCATATGGCATCCAGACATCATGCCATCAGTGGTATACAAATGTAAGTTTATATAAGGCACAGGCAAAGATATAAATAAGGTATGTGCACACCACAATACAGGTAGTCATCAACTTATGGCCAACTTATGCTGAGAAATTTGTTAAGTGAATTTTGCCTCATTTTACAACTTTTCTTGCCTCAGTTGTTAAGTGAATCGCTGCAGTTGTTAAATTATATGGTTGTTAAGTAAATCTGCCTTCCTCATTTGACTTTGCTAGTCAGGTCACAAAAGAGGATCACAGGACCCCATGGGACACTGCCACCGTCATAAATATAGTTGCCAAGTGTCTGAATTTTGATCGCATGACCATGGGGATGCTGCAGCGGTCGTAAGTGTGAAAAATGGTCCTAAGTCACTTTTTTCAGTACTGTTATAACTTTGCACAGTCACTAAATGAGCTGTTGCTGAGGACTACCTGTATAGGCCTGAGCTTGTCAGGAAAAAAGACACAGACGCAAATTAAACACATACACATACTTCGCACCATTTCAGTATACCAGTCTTTATTTTCGCAGTTGCAAAGTGGAATGCTTTATTTTGTGCTTTATAAATATAATTCAGCATCAACATCCTGGCCACATTGGTCCACGGGGGAAAGTTTTTGACTGACAAAATTGTCAAAAGAGTTCTGAAAACAGCGAAGGGTGACAGGCGGAAACAACAGGGAGAGAGAAGCATCCATTTCCCCCCACACACATACACACACTGGGAAAACTCTGGGTGTCTTGGACTGCAACTCCCAGAATCCCGAGCAGCTATGGCCAAAGGAATTCTGGGAATCGTTCTCAAACACAAACATGGCTCTCCATTTTCCACTCAACCCTTTAAAAAGAAAATCTGGTCCCTGGTTTGGGTTTCACGCTGCCTTTCCTTCGTATGGCCTAGGTCAGGGGTAGGCAACCTTGGCTCTTTTATGACTCGTGGACTTCAACTCCCAGAATTCCTGAGCCAGCCACACTGAGGGGAAAGGGAGAAGTTTCCAAGCTGAGCCATGCTGGCTCAGGAATTCTGGGAGCTGAAGTCCACGAGTCATAAAAGAGCCAAGGTTGCCTAACCCTGGCCTAGGTTTTCCAGCGCAGAAGGATCTGTTTCCTCCTACCACATTTTGCACTCAGCTGTGTCATCTACAAAATAATGACCTGAACTAGCTCATTCAAATTCTTGTAACTCCAAAGGTGCAAAACCCCAACAAAAATGTTGGCATTCGAGAGATCAGAGATTTTTCTCTTCCCCAGAGAAAATAAAACTGCACTGTGAGCTTAGAGACTTCTGTTTAGAAATGGAGCAACACTTCATTTCATAAATGAAAAAGAGGTAGAATGCAAAAACTCTTTGTGAAAAGAAAACGTGCTGCGATAGGAAAGGCCACCAGAGGGCGCTCGTAAGAATAAACTGGGAAAGAACTCTGCGGATACCATTTGCTCCCTGCTCTCTAATGGGCTGAAAGAAGCGAGACTCCAATGCAGCAGCAAGAATAAGGCAAAACAGGTCCCCCCCCCAAAAAAGGGGGGGCACCTTGCAGAATGCATAAAGCTATTCCACCTTCTGGAGAAGACTTACTGACCGAGTGAGGCTAGAATGACTCAAAGCTTGGAGCAGAATAATAATTTTCGGTGCTAGGCCTAGTCAAATAAGGTTTCCAAGCAGAGGAGGAGGGGGGGGGAGGAAAGAGGCACTCTGAGCTTTGGGTATGTTTGCAGCTAGGGAACGCCCAGCCTGCTACAGAGTTTTTACTAACAGTTGATTTGGTGGGCGACAAAGGAGAGACAGTCAGAATTTAAAAGAGCGTAGCTCAGGATGGGAAAGCGGGCTTCCAACACACGGGCAGAGAAGAGACCCAGAAGCTGATTCACCCTCCCCAGCTTGGGAAAATCAGAAAAAAGAAATTATTTCTGTAAAATACAGAAAGAACAGCCAATAAGGCAGCGACACTGGCTGTGCCTCAACCCAAAGGGTGTCTAGGATTGCTGAGGGATGCTACAGATGCACACACAGGAACCACACTCAAGGAACATTGCCTTGACTACACCTGTAAGGAGATCCCTTGCGTTTCAGTGTTCCAGAGTTAGGCCAACACAAGAACCAAAAGGAACTGGACACCAAGTTGGACAGAGAGAGAGACAGACACAGGCACCAATGCAAGAGCCGTTGAAAACACCAACACCTCTCCAATTTGAACTTCCTGAGAAGGCAGTGGAGGTGCGTAGCTGGGCGTGATTCTCTTGGCCGAAGCAGGAAACGGTCCAGTTCTGAAAAGGCACTAAAAATAAAATAGCTTTCCTAATTTTATTTAATTATTTGGCTAGGCCTGGCCGGCCTCAGCAGACCCTTTTGAAGTTTGGCCAAACTCTCACCCAAAGAGCTGGGTAAGTTAAACACTCCGAGGTTGGTACCTGGGGGGAGCTGTTTTATGGGGGGGTGGGAAAGAAGGGGGGGTGGCTGCTTCTTCCAGGTACAACCGACAAAACAAAAACAAAAGCCAGCAGCTGAAACAACAGTTGTCGAGTTGGTTTCCTTTACTCACAGAAGGCACTAACTGGTAGGGAAACCCTTTTTCGTTCCCTTGTTTAAAGTGCAGAAGACTTCTTTCTTGAAGGGGGGGGGGCGTTGAAATCAAAAACCAGGGGAGGGGGGGTCCATCAAAGGAAAATGAGCAGGAAGAGAGGGGCGGGAGTCCCAACTCAGAAGCTCAGATTGGCTGTCTATGAAGCTCTGCAAAAGCGATTCCTGGACCGGAAAGGCAAGATTGTGGTGATCCCACCGTCACCAATGACATTTTGGGATTCAGACCTCACTGCGCTGCTTCGTTCACTGAGACTTCCTGTGCGGGGCGGGGGCCACAGGCTCCTCCCTGGAGGGGGGCACATGGGCAGGCGACCTGGAGGAGGTAAGCACAGGTGGGAAAACACTCAGGTTAGAGCAGTGGTTCTCAACCTTTTTAATGCCGCGATCCCCAACCGGTCGTAAGTCGAGGACTACTCAACCGGTCGTAAGCCGAGGACTACTCAACTGGTGCAGCACCGTTTGCAGAATGGGACTTTTGGCGGGCTCAGCAGGGCAGAGACAGCCTGGACAATTCCTATTGGCTTTTGAAAGCCAATAGAATTAGACTCTATTCAAGAGAGTCTATTCTGTTGGCTTTCAAAAGCCAATAGAATAAAAGGGAGCAGCACAGCTAAGGAAAAGAGGGAAAAAAATGGCGGACTGCGTTGTTTGGCGACCCCCGTGAAATGGTCGTTTGACCCCAAATGGGGTCCCGACCCACAGGTTGAGAACCACTGAGTTAGAGAAACCTTTACACCTAAGCAGAACCCTCAAGAGCTCATATTGTACTGATTTCCAGGTAAGCCTCGATGTACGACCACAATGGACCCCCAAATTTCCGTTGCTAAGTGAGACACTTGTTCGCTTTGCCCCATTTTATGACCTTTCTTGACAGAACTGTTAAGCAAATCAACGCCGTTCTTAAGTTAGTAATGCAGTTCTTAAGTGAATCCTCTATTGATTTTGCTTGTCAGGTCACGTGACCCCGGGACATGGCCACCGTCGTAAATAGGAGCCAGCTGCCAAGCGTCATGAATTTTGATCGCATGACCACAGGGAATGCTGCAACGGTCGTTAAGTGTGAAAAACGGCCATCAGTCACTTTTTTTCAGTGCCTTTGGCCACTAAGCAAGGACTTACCACAGGTATTTATTTATTACATTTATATGCCACTGATCTTGCGTCAAGGATTACCTGTATATTTATTTATTACATTTATATGCCGCTGATTCCACAACTTCTATCAAGGAATATATTGAATGGCTGGCTGTCACTTGTCTAACGGCAACTGGTGTTGTTTGTCGTTTTTCTCTGTCAATTATCATTGTTGCCTTTCCTGAACCAGATGCCAATGGGAGATTACAAGCAGTCCTCGACTTAACGACCATCCAAAGTTAGGACGGTGCTGAAAAAAACTAATCGCCCTTGCACTTGCAGCGTCCCCACGATCAAAATTCAAGGGCTTGGCAACTGGTGTGTATTTACAACAGAGGTCCAGATCACATCTGTGAACTTTCCAGCCGGCTTCCGACAAAGTCAAGCCAATGGGGGAAGCCGGACCCACTGATTTGCTTAACAACTGCAGCAAGAAAAATGGTAAAATCAGTTGCAACTCAATTAATGACTGCCTGGTTTAACGCCGGACGTCCCCCAATTATGATCGTAAGCCGAGGACCACCTGTATCCAGTGAAGAGGCTCACCATTTCCCCAAATACGTACCCCACAGCCCGTATCTTCTGCATCATGAATTCCGCTGTATTGTCAATGACTATGCCCAGTTCGCGGTATTCGCCCGAATATCGGATGTAGCCCCAGGCTAGCATTGAGAGAAGCAACAGCCCCACTATCAAGTTGCACAACTGGGCAATCACACTCAGTCCGATGTACTCGGTGATCCCCGAGCTCACGTAGAGCACCACAATGAAGCCGAAGAGGATAGCCGGGGTCCGGAAAGTGTTGAAGATGTTTTTGCTCTGGTTATGCTTGGACAGGTCTTCGAAGAGGTCGCTCAGCTCCTGCGTCAGCTCGTCCTCGTAACGTTGGCTGAACTCCCGGCCGCCCATCTTCTTGATGCGCCGGAAGTGCTCCACGGCCCGGGTGCTCAGCTCCCGGTGCTTCGACTCCAGCACCTCGGGGGCAATGTAAGGCTTGTCTCCGCCACAGATCTGGAGGGAGGGAGGGAGGACCCAGCAGGTGAAGCTTCCAGGCACGGTAAAGCAGGCTGGGAGAGCCGGTTTGGTGGGTGGTGCAAGGCACCGGGCTAGAAGTTGGGAGACTGTGAGTTCTAGTCCTGCCTTAGGCATGAAAGCTGGCTGGGTGACTTTGGGCCCATCACCAGGAGACTGGGAGTTCTAGTCCCACCTTAGGCCTGAAAACCAGCTGGGTGACTTTGAGCCAATCACTAGGGGATCCTGAGTTCTAGTCCCGCCTTTGGCATGAAAACCGGTTAGGTGACTTTGGGCCAATCACCAGGAGACGGTGAGCTCTAGTCCCGCCTTAGGCATGAAAGGCATGATTGGGCCAATCATCAGGAGACTCCAGGGCAGCCCATACTGGGTGCAAACAGTGGGCAAATCTCCCCCTCCCGGCCCCCTTCAACCTCCTCACCTTTTCCATGCTGCTGTAATACAGGTCTTTGGCTGAAGCGACAGCCGCCAGGTTGTTGGCTTCAGCCGTGGCCTACAAAAGAGGAAAAACAACATCACTAAATCACAAACACTAAATCTGCTAAGGTTTAGGACAGGGGTAGGCAACCTTGGCTCTTTTATGGCTCGTGGACTTCAACTCCCAGAATTCCTGAGCCAGCATGGCTCAGCTTGGAAATCTCTCCCTTTCCCCTCAGCATGGCTGGCTCAGGAATTCTGGGAGTTAAAGTCCACCAGTCATAAAAGAGCCAAGGTTGCCTACCCCTGACTTAGGAGAACCGTTAAAAAAAAACCAAAAAAAAAAAAACCCCAACCCTGGCACATTATGAGAATCTCAGATGAGGTATTAAGATGGGGGCCACTCTCTTGGGTTGCATTCAGAGGTTTAATGCTGCCATTTTTCTCTACAGTTCCGTAATTTTGTTCGCTCCTGCAACTGGAGCCAGCTCTGCAAGCTTTGGAAGCAATACAGGTGGTCCTCAACTTATGGCCACCATTGAGCCCAACGTTCCTGTTGCTAAGCGAGACTCTTGTTAACTGGGTCTTTGTCCCATTTTACGACCTTTCTTGCCTCAGTTGTTAAGTGAATCACTTCAGTTGTTCACTTAGTAACACGGTTGTTAAGTGAATCAGGCTTCCCCTTTGACTTTGGTTGTCTGAAGGTCGCAAAAGGAGGTCATAAATACGTGCCAGTCGCCAAGTGTCCAAATTTTGATCACAGGGATGCTGCAATGGCCATGTGAAAAACGGTCAGAAGTCACTTTTTCCAATCCTGTTGTAACTTCGAACGGTCACTTGAGCAGGGGGCTGGACTAGAAGACCTCCAAGGTCCCTTCCAGCTCTATTCTATTCTATTCTATTCTATTCTATTCTATTCTATTCTATTCTATTCTATTCCATTCCATTTTTATTTCTATTCTATTCTATTCTGTTCTGTTCTTCATCCCTGCATTAAATTAAAAAAAAAAAAAAAAAGGAATCAGCACACTTGTTCAGTTAGCAACATGGCCATTAAGAGAACCGGCCGTCTCCACAGCTCTTCCATTTCCAGGCTAAACTCACCAGCAACATGGATTTGGGGTGTGGCAGGTCTTCCCCCTGGTAGATCTTAATGTAGGCCTAGAGTGAAGGACATTAACAACCATTATTACATGACACGTATTTTTTTAATCTATTTTTTAGACGCAGGCCAAACTGCAGCTAACTCATTGGTCGCTCCCAGGAGTTCAATCTTGATCAGCTCAAAGTTGACTCAGCCTTCCCATCCTTCCAAGGTCGATAAATGAGGACGCAGATTGTTGGGGGGCAACAGGCTGATTCTGTAAACCGCTTAGAGAGGGCTATAAAGCAATAGTCTAAGGGCTATTGTTAAGGAGGGGGGTAATACCTTCACCTGGGGCCACACCTTCACCTTCACCAACACCCCACCCTATGTCTTGGGTCAAATTGATCGGAAGCAGATGAAAAGTTGGTTGAAAGATGGGCAGCTGTATAAATATTTTAAATAAATAAGCTGAATAAATTGGAATGCCAGACCAAGCAGTTCTCTCTCTCTCTTTCCCTCTTTTTCCTTTCTTTCTTTCCTTTCTTCCTTTCCTTTCTTTTCCTTCCTTCCTTCCTTCCTTCCTTCCTTCCTTCCTTCCTTCCCCTTCCTCTCGTTGAAAAGAAAAGAAAAAAAGCCCGTAATGTGATATAACATACCTTGAAATACTCTAACAAGCCTCGGCAGGTCACTTTTGAACCGTTGATCTCCTTTTCCAAGAGCTGACTGGGATCCAGGACGAAGGGGATCAACTGCTTCAGCTGATCCTTGAATTCATCAGCGATGTCTGCGCCAAAAGTGGATGAAAAAGATAAAAAGAGGAAGAGGAAGAAGGCAATTGGGAATGGAGGTTGGTTTGGTTTTTTTCCCCCTCTCCCCACGTGAATTTCTTTTATAGCCTTATAAAATACAAACAGACATTATTATGGTAGGTAATAACTGTAAGGTTATATGGGAAAGCCTTTAGGAGACAGGACAAAAAAATATGCTGCCAAAGGAGATTAGATAAGAGACAGCAGAGCCCTCAGCTGCACAATGGGTGGAGAAAGAGGACGGGAAGAGACCCTCCCTCGTTTATCGGGGGGGGGGGGGTGTAAAGGAGAGGGCAGGAGATTTGTCCTTTCAGATTTGCAAGATTGAGGTAGACCTGACAGGAAACACAATCAGATCAGCTAATTCTACTTCGCTACCTTGACATCTTACATCTGTTGGGTGTTAAGTTGGAAGGGACCTTGGAGGTCTTCTACTCCATCCCTCTGCTAAAGCAAGAAACCGTGTTATCATTCTGCACAAATGGCTGTCCAACTTTCAGTGATGGAGCACCCACAACTTCTGAAGGCAAATCGTTCCACTGATTGTATCTGGAAGTTTCTCCGTAGTTCTAGGTTGCTTCTCTCCTTGATTAGTTTCCATCCGTTGCGTCTTCTCCTGCCTTCAGGCGCTTTGGAGAATAGCTTGACTCCCTCTTCTTTGGGGCAACCCCTGAGATACTGGAATACTGCTATCCTGTCACCCCTGGTCCTTCTCTTCATTAGACGAGAACAGGGGTCTCCACAGACTTTAAGACTTGTGGACTTCAACTCCCAGAATTCTCAACCAGCCAGTGGAAGTCCACAAGTCTTTAAAATTGCTAAGTTTGGAAGACCCCTGAATTACAATTATAAAACAGAAGCCAAACAGAGAACCACACCCTGAAATGCTTTTAATAAATTTGGAAAACCCTTTTCCAAAGAGGACTTTTTCCAGCTTATGGATCTGCAGCATAAAGCCACGTTTTGGGATGGGGGGGGATCTTCTTCATATCAAGACCCAACTTCTTCAGAGGTTCCAGCCCTTACCACTCAAACGGCCGTCAAAATTCGGGCTAGTGGCCACTTTGAGTCCCGGGTGGGGCAAAAGGAAACAGTTGACGTTGGTGAAGCAGGAATGGATGTGTTTGCGAACGTTCTGGATCTCTTCATGGTGGTGAGATTTCACCTTGTGGGAGAAAGGAAGGAGAATTCAGAATAGGTCCATGAAACCCAGCACTGGCTAGCCCTGATGATGTTACCTAGTTGGGTCATGAAACGTCTGCAAGAAAACAACCAAACTCATTTCAACCCTGAGCTACAAAAATTCTCCTTTATTCAAACCCAACACTGTCCTTCGTATTAATAACAGTAAAAAAAAAAAAAATACCAAGATCAGCAGGTTGGGAAAATAAAACCTTTCTCTAGAAACTATAGTCTGCAATGTTTTTGGGAAATCCATTCAGGCTCCCGCACCATTCAAAGGGTGTTCATACCAAAGTGCATAGCTAAATGTCTAGATTCTCAGGCATCCAGATCAGGGTTGTCCCAAAGGTGCTTTTTCAGGAAGCAACTGCACTGTCTTGTTTTTCTTTGAAGACATTTCCCTTCTCCTCCAAGAAGCTTCTTCAGCTCTGGCAGGATGGTGGGGAATGGAAGGATTTATACTCCTTGCAGACAGCTGGTCATTTGTGCTCTTTTGGAGAGTCGTTGAGCCCGCTTGGAGGTTTATCTGTGTCCTCAGAGTCACCTGAGTAGTGCAAATGGGTCCTTTCAGCAGTTCCAAGAAGGGCCCACACCCATTTGCACCACTCAGGTGACCCTGAGGACACAGGTCAACTCCCAAGTGGCCTCAACGACTCTCTCAAAAAAGGCAAATGACCAGCAGTCTGCAAGGAGTATAAATCCTTCCAGAATTCCCCAGCCAGCGTGCTTTAAAATGGGTGGACTTCAACTCCCAGAATTCCCCCATCAACATACTTTAAGAGGGGTGGACTTCAACTCCCAGACTTCCCCAGCCAGCTGCAGTCACAGTGGCTGGGAGGTTATTTTTGTTTAGGTTTTACCTCCAAACGTTTATCAAGGAAACTCATGCCTCCGTCTAAGCCGTAGTTATACTCATACGGAAAGCTCCAATCCCGCACCAGGAACATCAGCGTCTGCATTAAGAAAGAAGGCTCAGATTAAACCTCTGTACCCCAAACCTTGCTTGCTGCCAGCTGTGCCCACTGCAGGGCACAGAAATCTCCCTTTTCTGCAGAGAAGGCAGTTTAAATACCAGGATTAGGTGGTGAGGAAAGTTCTGGAGGCCCAAACCTATGAAGAACGGTTGCAGGAATTGGGGATGTTTTCCAATATTTGAAGGGCTGCCACAAAGAAGAGGGGGTACCCAGGCAGACTCTCCCCCCCACAACTCCCGATCGACCGAATGCATACCTGGAATGGCTTGAGAAAGATTTCGTCCATGGCCAGACGCCCGTATTCGGTAAAGAGCTGCACAAAGAGACAAAAAGCAACACTGAGGACCAGTTGCATGAAAAGCTCACACACTTTACGGAGGTCCTGCCTACCTGCAGCTGCTGGAGATCATCTTCTTGGATGTTTTGGGACAAGTTGTAAATCTGGAAAGGAAGGGAATGGTGTACAAAGTTAATTGTTTGCTTAACAACCGCAGCAAAAAAAAGGTCAAAAAACTGGGTACAACTTGCTTAACAAGCACATTACTTAGCAATTAAAGTTCCGGCCTCAACTGTGGTTATAACTCAAGGACTCCCTGTATTGTCTCAGTGCTTGTAGGGTTACTAGGCCTTCAGGGCTTTAGGTATTTTGTTTTAATTTTGCAAGCTGTCCAGAATCATGTATGTGAGATGGGCATATATAAAATGGGTGGGTGGGTGGGTGGGTGGATGGATGGATAGATAGATAGATTAGATGACATAGAAAGATAGATAGATAGATAGATAGATAGATAGATAGACAGACAGACAGACAGACAGACAGACAGACAGACTAGATGATATGGATAGATAGATAGATAGATAGATAGATAGATAGATAGATAGATAGATAGATAGTAGGTAGGTAGGTAAGTAGATAGGTAGATAGATAAGATAGATAGATGACAGATAGGTAGGTAGGTAGATAGATAAGATAGATGATAGATAGGTAGGTAGGTAGAGATGGATAGATGATAGATAGATAGATAGATAGATAGATAGATAGATAGATAGATAGATAGATAGATAGATAGATAGACAGACAGATAGATAGATGATAGGTAGGTAGGTAGATAGATAAGATAGATGATAGATAGATAGGTAGGTAGGTAGGTAGGTAGGTAGGTAGGTAGGTAGGTAGGTAGATAGAGATAGATAGATATGATATGGAAAGATAAAGATAAAGATAAAGATAGATAGATAGATAGATAGATAGATAGATAGATAGATAGATAGATAGATAGGCAGGCAGGCAAGTAGACAGACAGACAGACAGACAGAAACAGATGGACAGACAGACCAACAGGTGATGGATGGATTAAAAGAGGGAGGGAGGGAGGGAGGGAGGGAGGGAGATCTGAGTCTCCAGGGGCATCAAGATCTTCTGCTAACCCCCTGCACTCAGATCCCTCCATGCCAGTTTTCCTAACTTGCCAATCACGTTCAGCTGCAAACGGTGGGAGTTCCTAACAAGCGAACGGATGGCAGCTCACCTGAACGGAGCTGGTCATGGTGCTCAGGGCAAAAATGGTGGCACAGTCTTTGACGGTGGACTGGCTGTCAAAGGCCCCTTGGGTGTCCATCAGCACAACAGCGACCTGCAAGCAAGAGGTTCTTTTTTTGAAAATTTACAATTTATTGTTGGAATTCAAGCCTTAAACTTCCAAGACAAAGGTTCAAATTCTGAATGGGTCATCAAGCATCCTTAACGTCTTGGGCCAATCGGTCAATCTACAAAATTAGATGAGGAAGGGGCTTCTCCACCAAAGGGGGGGGGGAAACCCCAAATGGCTTTCTTGAGATCAAATATGTAAAAAAAAAAAAAACCCAAGACCTTCGTTTCCCCTCATCCAGAGGAAATGATTTTTGTAGCAGACCCATTAAACAGATTAATAGAGGAGTGTTCTTTTGAAATGTTTTCTTTTCAAATCCCCTTCCCACTTTTAAAAAAGATGGAGGATCTCAAAAGAGCTTTGCTTTATACAGGTTGCATTTATCAACGTTTACCACATTAAAAATTAAAGGACGTGGCAGGGGAAAAGCACCAGATGTTTTGGACTGGAGGCTAAAACATAGGAAGAACGGTTGCTGGAACGGGGTCTGTCTAGTTTAATGAAAAGGAGGACTGGGGGTGACTTGATAGCCATCTTCCAATATTTGAGGGGCTGCCCCAGAGAAGAGGGGAGTCAAGCTGTTCTCCAAAGCACCTCAAGGCAGAAGAAGCAACGGATGGAAACTCATCAAGGAGAGAAGCAACTTAGAACTAGAAGCACTCACCCAGAAGATGTGGGTGCTCCATCATTGGAGGTTTTCCAGAAGAGATTAGACCGCCATTTGTCTAAAATGGTATAGGATCTCCTGCTTGAGCAGGGGGTTGGACTAGAAGACCTCCAAGGTCCCTTTCTGTGATTCTGCTATTCTTTTTCCCTCCCTCCCCATCATTGGAGAGACTAGACAACCTCTTGTCTGGAATGGTATAGGGCAAGGGTCTTCAAAGTTGGCCCTTTGATGACTTGTGGACTTCAACTCCCAGAATTCCTCAGCCAGCATGCCTGGCTGAGGAATTTTGGGAGTTGAAGTCCACAAGCAGGGCTCTTCAAACTTGGCCCTTTCATGACTTGTGGACTTCAACTCTCAGAATTCCTCAGCCAGGCACACGTGCCTGGCTGAGGAATTCTGAGAGTTGAAGTCCACAAGTCATCAAAGGGCCAACTTTGAAGACCCCTGGTCTAGGGTCTCCTGCTTCAGCAGGGGGTTGGACTAGAAGACCTCCAAGATCCCTTCCATCCGTTATTCTCTTTTGCCCAGGCTCTGCTCTTAACTCTGTTGCCCTGAAACCTAGATCTATTTTTGCACACTGGCATTTCCTTTCCCTCCGTAGCCACTACTGCTTTTACCTTCTTTCCGCTTGGCTTCTTCACGATGAAGACTTCGCTCCAGATCTGAATGCCGGTGGTCTCGGGGTCGGAGCCCCCTCGCCAGGAAAAGCCCGTCAAGGGCTCTTCCCCCACCCCCAGCCAATCATCGCTGTCTTCTTTCTGTAGAAAAAACAAAACACCGCAGGGTAAAAAAAAAAAGGCCTCCGAAAACTTCTGAGCATCCTAAGAACAAACATTCCTTCCGATTAGGGTGCTTTTGCCCAGATTTTCTCAAGCAGGACTTTCACAGACCGAAAGGACTACACCTCCCATCTTTCCAAGTCAGCCTGCTACTGAAATCTCAGGCATCCCAAGGTCTGTTGAGTCAAAGGGAGATTCTTCTCTTCTCTGGAATAGATGTTTCTCTTGGAGGCGGAGAAAAAACTCTTTTTAAAAAAATAAAAAAAGGGTTTATCAACTTTTTTCAGGACCCCCATAGGATGAAAATAAGATTTTTTTGGGGGGGGAGATGGGGTTGAGGGGCCCCCCAGAGCTCTGAATCAATTGATTAAGCTACTTGGGCAGAAATCTGGGATGATAAATATGATTTATGTGCACCTCTGGGAACGCACGGCTGCAAGAGGCAGGGTCAAAGAGAAAAAAAATAATTATTTGGATCCCGGTCTCTGATCCCTGAGTTCGAACTGTTTAGTCATGGGAGTAGAATAGGAGCTTTGTATAAGGAGAAACGCTCTTATGCAATCTCCCCACCGTGGTATAAAACGATTGCAAAGGAACGGCAACAAGCCTCGGCTTGCTGAGTCCCGTTTTGTAACTGGAAAGCAGCTCTCCTTTGCTGAATTGCATAAAATGGGCAATGACATCCAGATTCAAACAGAGTTTATTCTTTTTCTAGGTGTTTCCGAACCTTGGCGACTTTAAGATGGGTGGACTTCAACTCCCAGAATTTCCCAGCCAGCCTGCGCTGAGATGGGTGGACTTCAACTCCCAGAATTCCCCAGCCAGCCTGCTTTAAGATGGGTGGACTTCAACTCCCAGAATCCCCCAGCCAGCACGCTTTGAGATGGGTGGACTTCAACTCCCAGAATTCCCCAGCCAGCACACTTTGAGATGGGTGGACTTCAATGCCCAGAATCCCCCAGCCAGCATGCTTTAAGAGGGGTGGACTTTAATTCCCATATTCTGTGACTTCAAGTCCACTCCTTGCAAAGCTGCCGCAGTTGGAAAACCCTGACAGTTAAGACCAAGAACAAAATGGAGATAAGTGTTTCGTGCAAAAATCTAGATGATCTCAAGATACCCAAAACTCAAAGGGGAGATAAAAAAAGATGGCAAGTTCTTTGGGGCAGATATTGCTTCCTGGCTCCCTTAAGAAACCCCCTTGAATCCCGGATGCACTGAGCGCACAGGTACAACAACTAAACAACCCACCAAGTGCAACTTGGACGTCACCAAAGACATATATAATGATCATCCTCCAAGATGACCGGAATGTGGTACTGCTCCTGTGTGCAACTGGCAGCCAAGCTTACCTGTGTGTATAGGTAACGCAAAAGGAAGTCCAGCAGGAAAGACTTGCCCTTGCGGAAAGCACCCGCCACGGACACCACCACCACGTCAAGGTCACGGATGGCATCCTGCAGGAGGACTTGACTCAAGGCCTTCTCGTCCAACTCGAAGGAATGTTCTTCTTTGTGGACCAGCACGATCTGCACAGGACCCGGCTTGATTCCCATCATGGCATTGCCTCCTGTTCCAGTCCACAAAGGAAAAGAGACGAACAACGTTTGTCAACAGCACTTAAGGTTTATTTATTTATTTATTTATGAGACTTATATACCGCTTGAAGTGCAATCACTCTCTAAGTGGTGTACACCAGTAAGCAATGTAGATATATATATATATATATATTTACGTTGCCCCCAACAATCTGGGTCCTCATTTTACCTACCTCGGAAGGATGGAAGGCTGAGTCAACCTTGAGCCGGTGAGATTTGAACCGCTGACCTGCTGAACACAGTCAGCTAAAGTGGCCTGCAGTACTGCACTCTAACTGCTTCGCCACCTTGGCTCATTGGTTGGCACGTGCTTTTATTTATTTTAGTCCCTGCGACCCTGGAGGTCTTCTAGTCCAACCCCGTTCAAGCAGCAGACCCTGTATAGCAGTGGTTCTCAACCTTTTTAATGCCGCGACCCCCCAACCGGTCGTAAGTCGAGGACTAAACCGGTCGTAAGTCGAGGACTAAACCGGTCGTAAGTCGAGGACTACACAACCGGTTGTAAGTCGAGGACTTTCCCTGCCCGGGAGCGCCGCGCATGCGTGGTGCTACCCCCTGCACCAGCCAAGGCGTAGCTGGCAAGCGGCAGAGACGGAGCAGGCCGACCACCGGCTGGGCCACCAGCTGGCCCAGCCCAAGGGAGGTAAGGCACCCGCCAGAAAAGAGGAAAAAAAATGGTGGACAGCCTTGCTTGGCGACCCCCGTGAAATGGTCGATCGACCCCAAATGGGGTCGCGACCCATAGGTTGAGAACCGCTGCTGTATAACATTCTGTCCAAACTCTTCTTTAAAATCTCCAGTGATGGAACAAACCTATTTATTCCAGAATTTGGAGAATATAAAGAGCTTTTTCAAGGGGAGAAGTGAAGATACATTGGTCTCCTTTATATAACCGAGGCAAAATACAATTCAGAAAAATTGGGACTAAAACAAGACACAAAAATGCTTTGTCCTCGGAAATCCTTCCACTGTGATATTATTTCCACGTCTAAACATTTTCCATTCCCAAACACGAATCCTTGCTTGCCAAATAAAAGGACATGTCAACCTCATAATTTTTTCCCCCACCATACCACAACTTATATAACACACACGTGGTTGTTTGCTGAAATTACATCTAGCGCTTTCTTTTGTGTCTCTACGCAACTTCTTAACGTGTGAAGAATGTTGATATTTACACTATGGGGGCCTGGCCAGTCTCAAAACATTGACAAGCATCTTTGTTGAAAAACAATTTTGCAATGAACCACTGAGAGCGCGTAACAGAACACATTAAGCGTACTTTATTGATTTTCTTTTCATAATGCATTATTTCAGTTCAATCTTCTGCATTCCTGAAAAATCAATTAAGAGATATTTTTATAACAAGGCCATGGAGTTAAAAAGCTCTATCTATCTATCTATCTATCTATCTATCTATCTATCTATTTCTGTCTATGTATCTATCTCTATCTGTCTATCTACCTACCTACATCTATCTCTAGTTCTATAATCCATCCGTCCGTCCGTCCGTCCGTCCGTCTATCTATCTATCTATCTATCTATCTATCTATCTATCTATCTATCTATCAATACCTGTCTGTCTGTCTGTCTGCCTGCCTATCTTCATCTATCTCCATCTCTCTATCTATCTATTTATCTACCTACCTATTATGGTAAATGCCTATGTACTTATTACAGTAAGATCTGCAAAACAGTCTACCTATACAGGCTGTGGGTTTTCCATTTCTGGAGTTTTTTAAGAATGGGGTAGATAATCACCTCTCATGAATATTGGAATTGGTTTTCCTCCATCATGCCAGAAAGTTGGACTAGACTGGTGTTTCTAAAAGCTGCAACTTTAAGCTGGGTGGACTTCAATTCCCAGAATTCCCCAGCCTGCATGCTTCAAGATGGGTGAATTTCAACTCCCAGAATTCCTGAGCCAGCCATACTGAGGGGAAAGGGAGAGGTTTCTAAGCTGAGCCACGCTGGCTCAGGAATTCTGGGAGTTGAAGTCCACACATCATAAAAGAGCCAAGGTTGCCTACCCCTGCATTAAACGGTCACTAAATGAACTGTTGTAAGTAGAGGACTACCGCTACATAGGAACCCCTCACCAGGGACCCAAGGGGTCTTTTTCTCTCCAAAGAAAAGCCCAGAATCTGTATCTCAATTTCAGATTCAGTCCTGTTAAAAACCACAACGCTCCATATTTCATCCCCAGAGACCACTCCCATCTCATACAGTTGAGCTGGATGGGCCAAGCAAGCTTAAGAGTGTGAGATTGTACACACTGTCTGTAAAAGTGGGTGCAAGTTCTCTTGGCCAAGGTCTTCCTAGCCCCCTTTTGCTGCTGCTTCTGGGCTCTCATGGGGATTCACGTCAAGAGGAGGGCTGGAAGCCAAGGAGAGCATCCATTTGAAGGCTGATCCCATCCTAAATGCTGAAAAGTGTTCCAAGCGATCTGTTTCCATGGCAACGGAGACAGGTTCCAGAAAAGCACAATCGCTGAGATGTTTTGCATCCTTCCAGCCGTCTTTATTTCACCGAGTTCCTCCTCCGTGCATGAATTTGCACAGAAGCAAATTCAACCAGCGTTTTTTTCCTAGCATCAGGGCGTGAAGAAAGAGTAGACAGTACGTATCGGGTCCAGTTCCAATTGTAAAGATAATAAAAGCGATAGATAGATAGATAGATAGATAGATAGATAGATAGATAGATAGATAGATAGATGATATAGAGATAGACATATAAATAGAGATAGATAGAACTAGTGATAGATATAGATCTAGATAGATAGATATATAGAGATATAGACAGAACTAGAAATAGAGATATAGGTAGAACTAGAGATATTTAGATAGAACTAGAGATAGATCTATAGATAGATTGAGAGAGAGAGAGAAAGAAAGAATTAATTCCTTATTAGCCAAATGTGATTGGACACACAAGGCATTTGTCTCCAGCGCATAAGCTCACAGCGTACATATAAACAGCAAGTCCTACGCCATAAATCGTAGTTACAATCATTAATCATAATTTCAAACAGTCAATAAACCATAAGAAGCCAATAGAAGATAAGTAGAAAAGATGAGAGGATGAGGAATGAGTGCAGTGGGAATTAAGTGTTCAGAAAAGTGAGGGCACGAGGGGAAAAAAAACTGTCTAGTTATTTTGGCATGCAGTGCTCTATAGCGCCCTCCTGAGGGGAGAAGATGAAATAGATTATGTCCAGGAGGTTCTGTAGATATTTTCTCAGCCCTCTTTCTGGCTCCTGCAGGAGACAGATCCTCAGTGGAAGGCAGTCTGGTTGCGAAAGTAAGATCCTATCTGTGGAAGCAGAAGTGTAATCCAGTGGGTAATAGTGCACAACAGCACTGTTTCTCTCTTTACGTTTTATCTTCAAAATAGAACCTGTTGCCTTCATGACCAGCCAGTTTGGGTTAAAAAAAAAAAAAAAACCAAAATGTCGCTAGAAACCACTTTGCGTAACATCAATATTTCATCCTAATGAGCTCAAGCCAGCTTCTCAGATGACAAGCAGGAACAACCAGGTTTTGCAGAATGGAAGCCCGGGTTTTAGCGAAAATTTTTACGCCTCCAGAGCTGGGAAGGTGAAATGTGGCAATTTTCACTCTTTACGGGGTGCCTGATTTCAAGCTCTTCCCTGTGCTACTTGTGAGTGTTGATTGCACCAACGCCTGTTCTAACTAGATGTTGGTGATAAAATCTCTTCCTGAGGTTGCACAATCTCCATCAAAGGAACAACACAACCAGCAACAGAAAGTTCCAATGTTCAAAATGTAGGTCATACCTAGAAATATTTCCTTCATCCATCCATCCATCCATCCATCCATCCATCCATTCATCCATCCATCCAGGGCTCAATTAAACTAGTCACTAACTTCATTGGTTGACAACCTTCTAGCATTTTAAGAAGAACGTTCCTATTTCTGGCCATGTTCTCTCCATTTATGAACCAAGGTCACTCAAGATATGAATGACTAAGCTCAAATGATCCTATTTTGGCCAGATTATGCAAAGATTCAGTTCAGAAGTGCCTAATTCAGGGAAACATGGAAGGAAAGAGAAGAAGATGACTAAACTTAAGTGGATGGACTTGATGACAGCAATGATGATGATGATGCACCATGAAGACATCTGAAGAGAGTTCCACCTGTAGAAAACGGATTTCTGGAGTCACTCTTGGGTTAATGGTCCATATTCCATCAAAAACAAGCTCCTTGCACTATTTTTTTTCTTTTGTGAAGTCAACAATATACTAGCTGCAGGACACACCACCTTAATTCTCATCTACTTATCTTCCTAGCCACAAAAAAAGCAGCTGAATGTACATGATTTTTGTTTTCCTTGCTGGGGTAATTTCAACAAATCATCCATTTTGATGTCGGAAGAAAAATCAATCTCGTCGAAACTCATCTGTTGGACCTTAGTTATTTCAGAAAACCAGCTTTTTTAGCCTATCAACGAACTCTCTATTTGAAGACACATCTCTCCTCTATCTGTATTGTGTGTTTTAGATTTTAAGCAAGAAGGACACTATTCTTTTAATCTTTCTTTCAGATGACCTGGAGCATCCTGAGTTCAAAAGCCCAGCAGAAATATCCCTTTTTTTTTTATTACGGTTATAAATTACTCAAGGCCCATACAAGTCCTTCCTTTTCCTATCTGTTCAGGAAGTCTGGGTCAGGCGTTCTTAGAAATGCCAAGGACTTTTGGCAAAGAAAATTGGGACTTTAGGTCTAAGCTACATCCCTTCTTTTTCAGGGGTGACTTGTCCAGAAAGATAAGATTTCAGCTCTTATTATGGGCGGCAAAGTGAATGTAGAAGTCCAAAGCATCTGGAGAACTTCAGGTGGCTGGCTGTTGTCCTAACCTAAAAATCCTCATTGTTGGTCATTTCTTCCACGGGGGGCGGGGGGGAAGGAAGTTATGGATCTCCACATCAATCAACATCACTCTCCATTAACTAGGCTGCTCAATTTCAAAATCCTTCTATCTAACTCCGATGCACCAGCTTGCAGTTACTTCAAAGAACTGAAAAGGAGCACAGGTAGTTATCAACTTAAAGTTGTTCATTTAGAGACCGTTTCCAATTACAGGGGCACTGAAAAAAAGTGTGACATAGGACCGTTTTTCACACGACCGTTGCAGCATCCGTCATGGTTAGGGGATCGAAATTCAGACACTTGGCAACTGACTCGTATTTATGACGGTCACAGCGTCCTGGGGTCACGTGATCCCCTTTTGAGAACTTCTGACAAGCAAAGTCAATGGGGAAGCCAGATTCGCCTAGCGACGGTGTTCCTAACTTAACAGCTGCAATGGCTCACGTCGCAAATGCAGCAGGGAAAGTCGCAAAACGGGGCAAAACTCACTTAACCAATGTTTCGGTCAGCAACAGGAATTTTGGGCTCAGTTGTGATCTTCACTGCAATAAAAACAATAAGCTAAGGGGAACACACAAACAGACAGCAACAACCGAAAGGACAGGAGAAGAACTGGACGGGGCAAACCAAAACGAATTTGAGGATGGTGGGATTTCAAACCCCAAAAGGCACAATTTCTTTAAACAGGGCACGAGGCTTTTAAAATCACTTCTGCAGAATTAAAATGGCTTTCCTTTCTTTTCAGTTTTCCGGAAAACCAAGAGCTGGGACAGAGGCCAAATTTTGAGAAAATTCTTCTTCCCCCCCCCCCCCTCCTTAAAGAAAACCTACATTGAAATGGAAGCAAGCAGAGCAGGCTTAGAGGTTAGCAATTCTTTCTCCTCCAAACATACGTTTTGACCCTTTTTTTCCCTGTAACGGGTGGAGTTCCCTCTCTGGGCTGTTTCCCTCCAATGTGGGGTTTTTTGATCATTGGAAATCCCGGCCTCCCTCAAGGGACGTAATTGTTTGAGGCTTGTTTTGGCCAGCAGAAAAATTGGGATGGGCCTTTCCACACTTCTTTGAAAGACCAACTTCCGTGAAAGGAAGAAGACCGCTCTGGGTCCCGGTATACATACACACAGACACACAACCGAAGCCAAAAAGCACAATCCACTCACATACCAGACTCTGCCAGCCAAGCCTCTGGATACAGTGAGTCAGAATTCAAGGCCACTCCTTTGTCTGTTTTGCATTCTGGAGCAAAGAAAGAACACAGATCTGAAGTTTTTCTTTTAAGCAAAACCTCCATGCCATCTTTGTTTTCTCCACCAGCGTCCAGGAATCGGTGGGATCTTTCAACCGAGCTTGTAAGCAAAGTAGGAAACTAAAAGAGGGATAGGATCACGATCACGCGAAGTGTTAGTGCCACTTTATAAAGTCTTGGCAAGACCACAGCTGGAATTCTGCATCGGGTTTTGTTCGCCACGATGTAAACAAGATATTGAGACTCTAGAAAGAGTGCAGAGAAGAGCAACAAAGATGATTAGGTTGTCTGGAGGCTAAAATATACGAAGAACGGTTGCAGGAATTGGGTATGTCCAGTTTCATGAAAAGAAGGACTAGGGATGACATGGTAGCAGTGTTCCAAAATCTCAAGGGTTGCCACAAAGAAGAGGGAGTCAAGTTATTCTCCAAAGCACCTGAAGGCAGGACAAGAAACAACGGTTGGGAAAACGGATGGAAATTAATTAAAGAGAGAAGCAACCTAGAACTAAGGAGAAATTTCCTGACAGTTAGAACAATTAACCAGTGGAACAACCTGCCTCCAGAAGTTGTGAATGCTCCAACTCTGGAGGTTTTTAAGACAAGATTGTCTGAAATGGTATAGGGTCTCTTGCCCATGCAGGGGGTTGGACTAGAAGACGTCCATGGTCCCTTCCAATTCTGTTATTCTGCTAATTTCTGTGCCTGTAGCTTATTTTTTTTTGTTTTTGCAACAAATTGGGCCTTACAGGTACAATGCCCCTATCCACGGAGGTTCCATCCTGAAAATCCCAGGATCCAGGAAGTTGCTTTGTATCAGGCAAACCATGACTGTCTGGCCTTTCGCTAGCGTGGTTCTAAGGCTTCGTCCACCTCAGGACAAAAAGATCCACACTGCAGTTTGGAAGACGGAGGAGAAACGTGCAAATTCTTTGCTTTGTTCAAGCTGAGAGGATCATGCAGGAAAAGCCTTGCTGATTTCTCAAGAAGGGTGAGCTGATGGGACTGCAGCTCCTCGCATGGACCCATTTGTGCTTCCTCAAAAAAAAGTGAGGAGGCATTCTGTTTCTGATATTCTGAAAGGAATATTCAAGCACTTGTAACTCATAATCATTGGCATTTTATTCTCCTTGCATGAAAAGGTCTCCAACTACAATCAGCTAAGACGTTTGACTCCTTAAAACATTTCAAAGCTAACTCAGTCAATCTGGATCAATGGTTTTCAATGTTAAGTTATGTGGACTTCAACACCCAGAATTCCCCAGACAGCTTGCTGGCTGGGGAATTCTGGGAGTTGAAGTCCACGCAATTTAAGGCAGCCAGGGTTGAGAAACACTGCTCTAGGTAAAACACAATTTCAAATAAAGCTTTGAAATTAGGTAGCTGAAAGAAGACTTAATTATAGATTATACACCCCATCAATGCCCAAACATCTGAGCTGGCGAGGATGATGGGAGTTAGGTCCCCCAGATCTGGATTAATCAGCCACTACTTTCAGTTCAAACGGTCAAGACAGCGGACGCTGAACGCTCTAATTATTTGGAGAGGACCAGGCTGATTTCATTACTACAGGTAGTCCTTCACTTACGACCATTCTTTTAATGACCGTTCATAGTTACAATGGCGCTGAAAACAGTAACTTATGACCAATTTTTCACACAGCCATTGCAGCATCCCCATAGTCACATGGTCAAAATTCAGATGCTTGGCCACTGGGTCATATTATGATGATGGTTCTAGTGATCCCCTTGATGGGGAAGCCGAGTTCATTTAACACCGTGTTACTAAATTAACAACTGCAGTGATTCACTTAACAACTGTGGCAAGAATCACAAACGGGGGCAAAAGCCATTTAACAAGTGTCTTGCTTAGCAACAGAAACCTTGGGCTCAGTTGCATCCATTCTCCCCGTAGCCAAAGGATTGCAACCTGACCCACAACTTTAATCAGACAGCGATGGAAGAAGCATGTTGAAAAACCGGTTGAGGTCTTTCCACATAACCCTTAAGTCGGAACAGACACTTATCCCAATGCAATAAGCCATTCTATTTTTTTTTTAAAGAAATGCCATAAGGCCTACATGGAAGGAAGATGGAGAAATAGACCCCTGGAGAGAGAGAGAGAAAAAAAAAACCACACCGCCTCCTCTGGGATCCAATTTCGATTTCTTTGCAATGAAATGATAGGGAACGATTTGCAATCAGAATCTTATCCAGGACATAGATAATGTTGTTTGTGGTTCGCAACCTCGTCTGGCACTTCTTCAAGTACAACAAGATGGCTGAGTTTGCACAACCTGCCTCTTCTCCCCCCCCCACCCCTCCCCATACACACACAGTGAGGATTAGGTGATTTGTGGGTCCGCACAGTGTGTGCAAGATCTTGTAAACTTCAACCATAACGAAGCATAAAGTTGGCCACATCCCTATAAAACACTCAGATTGCAATTAGAGAAAAGGGGGGGGGCAAGATTGCAATTAGAGAAAAGGGGGGGGCAGGAATAATAATCTACATAGCGCCCCCCTCCTCCACCCCTCCCAAAGCTGCTTCTAAGTTGATGAGTTGCAAGCAACTCAAGCACCCAAGATGTTTGCGGCCCCAAGCCCATCATCCCCAACCAACTTGGCTAAGAGCCAGCTATTGCACGATCTGCATTGGAAAGTGGGGAGGGGTCCCCAGTGCTGTCCCTGGCTGGGGATTAGAGGAAGTGGGGTTGGACACCTTGCACACTGGGGGGGGGATCTCCCTGGCCCCCACCCCATGGGAAGAAGGGAGCCCCGTGCATTTCCCCCCCCCCAAAAAAAAGAGGACGGTGCAATGAAGAGGCTGCCTATTGCAAACCAGGGGAGGGGTCCCTACCGGCCGCCTCCTGTCTGATGAGCCCTCCGATGCTAACGCCGCGGCCGCCGCTGCCGAAGGAATGACACGGAGCCGCCTCCCGCCCGCCCCTCTTCCCGCCCCATGGCCGGGCAAGCCAAAGGCGGAGCCGGCACCACGCGGGGAGAAGAAGGCGCGGGCAGCCGGGCGAGGGAGGAAGAGAGAAAAAAAAAAAGGAGAGGCACGTCGGGAAATGTAGTCCGCCTCCAGGGCGTTCCTGCCGGAAGGAGGAGCCGCGCGAACTACAACTCCCGCGAGAAGGGCGGGCAGGCTCCGGCGCAAGGCCTTTCGGGAGATGGAGTCCAACTTCCGCAAATGGAGATTAGCCGGGAGGAAAAGCGTGCAAGGAAGTCAGCGTTGGTGCGTGACTTTCCCAATGGGAAAGGGGGAGAGGGGAAGTGCATCCCCTCCCCATCATTCCCAGCCCTGTGGCCTGGGATGATAGGTTTTGTAGTGGGACCTTTCTGCAGGATGCAAAGAGAGCTGCAAGCCGGGGAAATTAACATTGCGCAGCTGTCTAGGCAGAGTTCTTTTTTAAAAATATATATATATTTTTATTAATTTTTTACAATAACAATCTTTAGTGCTTTGTGAACAGTGTGTTGTCTGGGTTCCTATATTTAAAACAATCAGTGATAATTTTCTACAGTGAACCAATATTAGATAACCTTTAATTGTCATTTTTTTCCCTGTTGGCACACGTTAAAAATTATATTTAGTTGCTTGCTCTCAAGGGTTACTTATTTACATAACACACATTTAAAACGTACTATAGACAACGTATATGTAGACCTTACATATAAGTAGCATATAAATATTAAATCACTGTCCATCTTGAATACATAACGGAAGGAGGGAGCTTTAGAGTTCGCAAGGTTAATATAGTATGGAACAAAGCTGTGACTGAATCTGGATGTTGGTTAGGGTTAGGGTTGGTTGGTAATATATTTCAAACGTGGCCCTTTCATGACTTGTGGACTTCAACTCCCAGAATTCCTCAGCCAGCGTGCTGAGTAATTATACTGAGTATAATTAAATCCCTTATATTTGCACATTATTCTTATTGTTGTTGTTGTCATTATCATTATTATTATTATTATTTGCAAATGTGGCTTTGATAAGATGCAAGGCTGAAATCCAGGAAAGGAAACATATGCAAATAGGATTTTGCTTTTGACCCATAGGAAAGATTTTTGTTTCTGAAATTGAATGATATCCCAGCGGTAAATTTTGAAGCTGACTATCCTTTTTTCTCCTGTTTCTTGCCTTTCAGATTACTTTATAATAAGGAACAGGTTTGGCGTGTTTCAAAGGCGCCAAGTCTCTTAAAAATGTTTTTATAGACTTTGCTATATATTCCTGAGTGAAAGCAACCCAGTTTTCTTCAAACGTTTCCAAAGCTATTCAGAAATTCAATGCCTGGCCCCTTTGCTTAGTTTTCCATTTATTCAGGAGTGAAATAGAAGTAGAATAAGGTACAGAAAGTGGATTTATTCTAGTATGATTTTTTTAAAATCTTCCATTTAGTTATGTTCCCTTGAAATTCCCTACAGTTTTCTTGCCAGTTTTTCAGAAATAGTTTGCCATTGCTTCCTTCCTAGGGCTGAAGCAGTATGGCTGGCCCAACGTTACCCAGCTGGCTTTGTGCCTAAGGTGGGATTAGAATTCGTAGTCAACTAGTTCCTAGACTGGAGCCTTCACCACTATACCAAACTGGCAACAAGGTTATAAGTAGTCCTCAACTTATGACCGTAATTGATTGACCGTTAAGTAAGGACTACCTGTACAGGTCTGAAAAAATATCTGTCATATCTATGTGACAGCAACAATTGGGATTTTGTGCCTCTTTGCTACCCTCTAGTGGGGTATGTGGTTTGGGGCATCGGTTTAGGGCTGTCTTCCCAGTTGTGTCATTCATTTTAAAGGAGGGGACAAAATGCAGGAACTGACGTGGGAACCCCAAAACACCAGTATTGACTTAATTATTGCAGGGAGGGGGGGAACCAACACTTTGCCAGGCCATAGACTGCATGCAGTATGGCCCAATTTGCAGAAAATATCCAATAATTGTGTTGCTGACTCATTTAAAGGCCTTCAACCTCTTTGAGGTCTTAAACAACTGCTTTTATTGTTTCCTGCTGTAAAATAAGGGGTGGGAAACTGTGGCTCCCCCAGTTTCAGAGAGCATGAGGGGGGGGAGGGACCATAAAATGGCAGTAGCTCATGGGCTTCCCAGTTTTGCAACCACAGGACCAGCACTGTAGGGTGCCGAGAAATTCCCAGAAAAGCAATCTGAGATTGCAAAAGAGTCCCTCCAAGGCCAACAGTGGGGGAAGATGGGAGTTGTGATCCCAGATCCCAAGGAGCCATGTTGCTTACACATCGGTGGCCTGCCAGATGTGGCAGCACAACAGAGAACCCAAATGATGTACTTCCCTCTCTCTGCCTGGTTGGAATATAGCTCTCATCCATCACAGCCATCATGGGGCAAGAGTAATGGGAGTTGTAGTCCCAACCGTTTGGAAGGAAAGCAAAGCTTCATCACTTTCTATGTAGAGGCAAAGCTCAATTTATGATCAAAGGTGGGACCGGAACTTCCATCGCTAAGCGAGGCGCGTGTCGAGTTGCGCTCAATTTTACAACCTATTTTGCTACAGACATTAAGTGAATCAGGCAGTTGTTAAGCGAATTACAGCTTCCTCCATTGACGTTGCTTGTTGGAAGCCGGTAGGAAAGTCTCAAATGCTGATTATAGGATCTCAGGATCCTGCAACCATCTTAAATACATGCCAGGGGTCCAAGCACCTGAATTTTGATCCTGCAGTGTTTATAATGCAAAGTCACAACCTAAGTTCCTTTTTTTCACTGCTGTAAAAAAAAGATTGTAAGTGAAGGGCTACTTGTATGGATTATGTGTGAAAAACATACAGCTGTTTGGCTGGTTTAGAGCTAAATTTACATATTCTGATAGGCTGCTGATGAGTTCCTGGATACATGACAAAGAAAACAACACGCATCCTATAAAAATGGTCTCCTTTCAAAAAAAAAAAAAACCTTTCTAGGTGCAGCCTACAGTCTTCAGAAACCCTGACTTTTCCAAGGTCAACCTGAGTTGAATAGGTATTGAGATTTTACCGTATTCTCATTATTTATTTACCGCATGGACTATATTTATAGATCCACCCATCTGAGCTCAGCAAAGTCTGGGATGGTTAACCCAATAAAAACATCAGTGCAATAACAGGATGTAATAAAAAAACATTTAAAATTCAAAAGAAAAAATTTGACTGCTGAGAATAGACTAGTCAGGAACAAACTCTCAAACCGATGACATTATAATAATACTACTACATTTAAGAGGCGTGTCTCCTTTTTCCTATTAAAATAATGATGATTCAATAAAAGGGCATACCTTACCATTAAAACAGACTCATCTCTAAAAGGGCATTAAAAATAGCATAAATCTTTAAAAAAAAATTGACATCATCTTTCCTAAACTCTTGGGCAGCTAAAAGTTCCATTATCTCTTAACAGCAAAGCTACATAGGTAGGCTTAGCAACTTCCCTATTTATTTAAGTTAAAATCAGCTCGTGTATATATATACGAATTTCTCATCCCCCCCAAAAATAAAAAATAAAAATTTGACAGCCCAAAGACACGCCTTCTCCCGTCCTCTTTCCTCACTGCGCCTGCGCCGGAAAGGCACATCAGCCCGACACGCCCCTTCGCGGCACGTTTGCTCACAGCCCTCTCCTTGCGCCTGCGCGCTGCGACCGCGTCGCCTCAGGTTGGTCAGTCGGTGCTCGTCCGTTGAGCGGGGCGGTCGCGTGGAGGAGATCCTTCGTCGGCGCTGCGTGCGTTATTATTTTTATTCCCGTCGTAGGCGAAGATGGCTGATCCGGCCGCCCAGTCCCCGTTTATTTCTTCTTCTGCCGGAGGTGGCTCTTCCGAGTCGGGAGGACGAGACCTGAAGGGGGCAGGTTCCCCCCAATCTTGCGCTGGTAAGGACGCCGGGGGGGGGGGCGTGGGCAGTGGAAGGAACGGCCGGCGGCGGCGGCGGCGCGGGAGGGGGAGTGCGCGTTGACGGGAAGAGCCCTAAGGTTGTCCAGCACGAGCTAGGAAACTGGGGAGAAAGACGCATTTCCTGGAATTCTTGCATTTAATGCAAGCCATTACTGCAGCCTCTGCTAATTCGCCAATAAATGCGCCCATTGCCTTATTAATTTCATCGAGACTCGATATTTTATTTGCTTTCCCCCCCCAATTAAGGTGAACTGGGGTGTATGTTATGATGCATTTTCATTTAGTGCAGAAAAATGGCAGAGTCTGTGAATTTGCCAGTGAGTTGTACCATTTGCATTACTTTACCGAGATCAGATATTTTATTTGCTGCTCCTCCTCCTCCCCTTTAAAGAGTGTAGATAAGGAGGGGAAGGGCTTCAGAGCCCCATTTTCCCCTAGTTGATGCAGGATAAATTAAAATACGTTTTTACAATTATTTATCTAGGAAGTCTCTCTCTCTGTCTGTCTCTCTTTCTGCCTCGCAGTTCCTTAATGGCTGCAGATGGCTTGCAAGGTTCAGCAAAAGCAGTCTGGAAAGCAGAGTTGAAATGCAAAATTCTATCTAGATATCTAGACATCTAGATATGTAGATATCTATCTAGATATGTAGATATCTATCTAGATATGTAGATATGTAGATATCTATCTAGATATCTATCTATCTATATAAATATATAGATATAGAGATCTAAAATGGTTTTGAAGATACGAGTGTCTCAGGTATATTCATATTCAAAAACTAAAACACAGATCACTGAGACTAAAAATTTATTTATGCTGACGAAAGCTAAGTTTTTACATAAATGTTTAGTCTCAGTGATCTGTGTTTTAGTTTTTGAATATAGATATATAGATATATATACAACCAATTAAAGTGGTGACACTACAAAGCTTGGGAAAATGAACCCTGTTCCAGTCTTTTCTCAAGGCTGGCTTCAATTTCCCTCCCCGCCCTCGGCTCCATTATGTGCGCCCTGCCCTGGAGGATAAAGTCAAAACTGGGTGTTGATGTGATGGCTGATTACAGATTTTATTTCTCCAGCCTGGTGCCTTCCCGGCCACTGGGGTCTGCCACTCCCCTCAGCGGGAAGCAGGGTCAAAAAAAATCTTTCAGGGTACCCAAATGAGATTCAAGTGACAGTTGGGTGCAAAGCTGTCTCTCTTCTTCTTTCGTTTTGCAGTGCAGTCTGCAGGCTTGGCAACCGTCTGAACGAGGTGGAAGGCATACTACTCCTAAAGGGAATTTGAAAATTAGCCTTTTTCTTGATAGCTTGGGGACAGCTCTTTTATGGAGGGGAAAGGTCACTGTGGTTTTTGAACAGGGCTGAATCTGAAATCCAACTAACAAATTCTGGGCTTTGAGACCTTTCCTCTGAATTGTTGTCCTTCCCTCCCCCCAAAATGGCAGATCGTGGGGAAAGGGCCAGAAGAAAAAGGCAGCAGTTGGGATTTGAAGGGAGACTGCTCAAAATAAGCATCTTTTGGCCGCAGCCGTTATAACAGGGACATTCATGGGAAACCAAGTCGATGGTGCATTTAAGATGACCAGAGTTTTCAGTGCAACAGCTCCCTTGCAGATTGACGTGTAAAATATTCTTTTTTAAAAAATAAATTCTGAGAGATCCTTTCATAGGCAAGGATTTGCATCCTCTTTGTGAGAAATAGTTCTGCCTCCTTTATTCTTTTGGGAACAGCCATGATAATCCAAACCTGCCAGGGTGCACTGGGTGCGTTTGGACACCCCCCCCCTCCTCAAGGATTTTTTTTTTTCCCCTGGAAAGGGCTGCGCTGGAGACCATGGAGGGTTTGAGACCTGGGAAGGGGCCTCCGAAGGACCCCAGGGAGGAGAAGGGTGTGGCAGTTCCCAGGGCTTGGGGGGGGGGAATGGGGAATTTAGCATTCAGATCAGCTGCCCTGTGGAACGTAGCAAGGCGGACCAAAACAACTGAAGGCTGGAGGAGCTGGGAAATGGGGTGGTGGGGGTGCCAGGTTGCCAACAGTCCCAGGGGCAGGCAAGCAAGCAATCTGGGCAGATGCCACGGGTGTGGCACGACAGCACCGTGGAAAATTCTTCAGTAATGCCCCGGAGCTGGGAAATGAAGCAATTTCGGCGGTGGCTTAGCAGAACATTGCAGCTATCAGCAAAATGTCTGGCAGATGCATGCCGATCAGGATGGCAAACTCTCGCTGCTTCAGTACGTGGGGTTTTTCCGGCTGCAAGCCCCTTCCCCTCTCCTCCATTTCAGGGGTCTTCCAGTCTGTCTGATCTAGCACTGCAGCGACGGGTGGGGAGTGGCCTATGAAGCTACTTTCCTTGCTGCCAAAGCCAGGGGATTCTTACCGAGATGAGAGAACGTGGGTGGATGGGAAGTAAATCCTAGATTATTATTATCATCATCATCATCATTCTAGGCGTAGGAGACAAGGATGGAGTCTGAAGGTGCGTTTTGCACCTTCTTGGCATGGTCTCCCTCGCTGGGGGGGGGGGAAATACCAGATGGATGGGAGATGGGGAACAAAATCCTCCCCTTGCAATTGCAGGAAGATTTTATTTACTTTTATTTATTTGGTGGCGTCCTAAATCATTCTCATCCCAGGCAGGTGATCCAGTTGGTGGGGGGGGAGAGAGAGAGAGAGAAAAGGGCATTGTTTTTTCCAAATACTTCCTGTCTGAGTCTGGGTGGCATGAAAAAAGGCAATCTATTGTCATTTAAATCTTTCTTCCCCTCCCCCAAATTCTCTTTGCTGTTGCTTTTTTGGGTGGGGGCAAGAATACATTAAAACCTGCTTCTGGGAAAGCCTCCCCCCCCCTTTGGCTCTGATCTTTTCCCTTTTTTAAAATACTTTTTGGAGACTGCCAAAGGGATGAAAGCAAGACAAAGACCCTGGAAGGCCCCCTTCCTCTTCATCATCTGGGTGGGTGGCTGGGCGGCTTATCTCCTCCAGGGTCTGGGTAGAAAAAGCCGCCTCCTCATCAAAAATCTGCACTGCAGATGTCTGTCAGGGCGAGAGGAAGGCAGAGAGGGCAGGTGATGCTGCTTTAAAGGGGACGAGACCGCCAAAGCCATTTTGGGGGAGCTGACCCTGGCTTACTGGTGTTGCATTCCTGAGCAGGATGCTGAGCCCTTGCAGAAAATCATATTAGTGTAATCTGGCAGGCGGCTGAATTGTTCCATGGAGGGTGGGGAGAGGGGGGGGGGTTTAAGGGCTTGTAATGTATCTCCCACCTGTCACTGCTTCTGGTATTTCCAGCTACGGATGCCGGTTTGGGAGCAAGCTGGCTTCCCCTGTGTGGTTTCTCTTCAGGGCACCGTAGAGTTAAGATCAAAGCGGTGAATATGGCCTGTTGTCTGATGGAATAACAGGGTGGGAAGGGACCCTGGAGGTCTTCTAGTCCAACCTTCTGCTCAAGCAGGAAACCTGTAATATTTCAGATGGATGTTTGCCCAATCTCTTCTTAAAAACCTCCGGTGTTTTACAAGGGATCTGACCAGAAATGGTTTGTCTGACAGAGAAAGCACTTCTGCACCACCAGATAAGCCGTATCTCGGTCTGTAGCTTCATCTTCTTTCCTTGATGAGTGAACCAGGTTACTCATCCCTGGACCTTCTTTTTTTTTTTGCACATCCAAGCCAGCACTCTTGAACTGAACTCCCTTCTCTGCCCACCTGCCCACTTCAGGTGCCCACTGCAAAAATCAAGCCTTTTGGGTGATGCTTAAGCTTAATTTAGTGGCGTTTTGCCCGCTTGCATTCTCAAAGAACCCCCATAGCCCTGCTGGTTTCATCCTTTGAGTCGATCTATTTATTGTGCTTTTCTGCTGTGGCAGTTTAGAGGTGGGGGCTGCAGTGTTAAGTGCAGTAACACAACGTCATATCTCAGTAAAGTAACAGCAGGATCTTGAAGGTCTGAAACGCTAACATGGTTTTCAGAAGGCCCTGGGGTAGTTAAAAGGAAATTTTTGTCTGGCCCCAAAAGAGTACCAGGCAGGTTTTGTTTTTTTTTGAGAGAGGTTTGTGTTTGATTGTTTGTGTCTCCACAAATGAAATGCCACTCCAAAAGAGATTTTTTTTTCCCTGATTCGAGATCATCTCGCTTACTTTAGGCATCCCAAGAACTGAAGCCCTGGTTAGAAACCACGAAAAGAAATGCCCCTGCAGGATGATTTAAATATAAAATAGGATATTTGTGGAATTTTGCATTTATACATTGCATCACCATCGTTTTTGGCTCACTGTCGTTTCTTGAACAAGCCACCGCCATTTGCTTGTGGCCCCCCCCCTACATTTTGGTATCCAAAAATGCATTGGGCTGGGTTTGCTTACGGATCACGTTTTAATGCTTAGTGTGATGCACAGAACCAGGTGTGCCCACATCCCTGGTTGCTAAGACAAACAGGAGTTTTTTTATGTCTCACATTTGCTCCGAAGAAGGGCTGCATACGTTGGGCAGGGGGTGATCGGCTCTGGAGTCCCCCCCCCTCCATTCCTGCTTTGTCGAACAGCTGGCCATATGTCTCAACTTCAAACGGTGACATAATTTGGAGGTCCTGAAGACTTGTCACAGCATCTGCTGTGCAAAAATACCAGACAAAGCCCAGAAATTGGCACGGAGCAAGGAATGGCCCCTTCGTTAGGCTCGTGTGAAGAGATCAGGTTTCTCGCCCTTTGGGCGGCTGAGTTGAGCGTGAAAGCTGTGTCAGTACTGATGTGTAAAATTATAGAAGCAACAAGATATGTGGAGGGCTGGATGCTTTCTTTTTTGGCTCCTTTCCACGACAGATGGGCTTGTTTTGATTTAAAGCAGGGTATAAATCCACCGGAGAGGACTAACCGTAACTTAAGTTTGTCCTTTTGAATCCCACGTTTTGTTTTTTTAAAATTGGTGGTCTAAATTATGTAGACCTCACTGCTCACCCTTGTTGTTTTGCAAGAATTGT